ATGGTACTATCTTACTTAAAAGTGCCATTTTTATGATAATTGCCTCAGTCATTTTTATATTGTCTTTGATACAATTTATAGAAATCTGAGTAATTAGTAATTTTAACCTAATTTCATGTGTCTTTATAGTGATTAGCTTTTCCTTTACTTTTTATTCTAAGTGGTGAAGAATGTTTCCATTCTATTTGGAGTCTTCCTGAGAAATTCACTGTGATCATTTTCGTATATGGCAGTCCATTCTTCATCTATTTGGTGTGCATGGTTAAAGTCAGATTTATTGGTTATGATTTGTAGAAAGCTAAAGAGTTTACTGGTGCTTGGATTTAGTGTGGCATTTGCTTTACAGCCATCAATCTGGGTATGAATTGTGGTTCCTTACCAGTTATGTGGTATGGAGCAAATTGGCTTCTTTGAGCCTATTTCTATCTTGGAGACTTGCCTAGAAATGCGGGAGACATGTGTAGTGCCATACATGCATTCTGAAAATGGTGAGCCATAGCGCCACTTCCAGCTTTTTCTGCTTATGTGGTGCTGAGGAATTGAACTCATGACTTCATGCATGCAAGGCAAGCGCTCTACCACTGAGCCACCTTCCAGCCCACAACTTCATCCTTTTCAATAATAAGGCATTATTTGATTGATAAGGAGACTTTGGTGTAGTTAGACAAAGAATGCTGCCAGCCTGGCTGGATGGTATGAAGGCTTGGAGATTTTCCTTCACCCGTCTGACTCCTGAGCACATGCTTTGTAGGTTTGAAGCCTGTGGGGCACTTTGTCTTTTGCTCATCTGCCTCCTCCACGGGAGGCTTAGGCTTCTTAGAATTGGGAACAGAGGTTATTGCATTCTAAATTTATAGTTACCATTTTGTTGGCATAAGTTATTTGTACAGAGGGGTTTTATTGTGATGTTTCTATTCAATTTTTTTTTCTATTCAGTAGTTATAATGTACTTTAACCAAGTTCATCCCTCCTATTACTGTTTCTTAATCCCTCTTCCTTAGGGTTTTTTGTTTGTTTCTTGTGGTGGTGGTGGTGTGTGTTTATTTGCTATTTTGGTATACATTATATATGATGTACTTCATATGCACACTATCACACTATTTTCTCCTTCCCTCTCCAATCTTTCTTCTCAAACAACCCCTCTTTTGCCACCAAGGTTCACATTTACTCTTCAGGATCCCTTAAACTGAAAGTGACACATAATAACAGAAAGTGACAGTGTACGTCAAACTTAATAGCTTACTATTAAGAGTCTTCTCACTGTAAGTTGACAGAAAATCTGAAGCATTAGGACTTTCCTTTTTAGCCCCATTGCCAGCCTTTTTGCTATGACAGTTTGAATTTTCTATATTTGGTCTTCCAGTAGTGCTAGCAAGTATTCATCTTAATCTTCCTATCAGATTATAAGCTTGGCATCAGTGCAGTGCCTCAGCATTTGCATAACTACTCATTACATGTTGGCTTTTAATTTAGTCTAGTAATAGTATCAGACATATTTTTGTCTTAGATATAGTAGACATAGATCTTTTGCTCATTTGTCTTAATTTAGCTGTGATTCCCTACCTTATCAAGTAATGAAACCTGCACCTATCTATATATTCCTTCTTTTTTTTTTTTTGGCCATACTAGGGCTTAAACTCAAGGCCTGAGCACTGTCCCTGAGTTTCTTGTGCTCAAGGCTAGTGCTTTGCCACTTGAACCACAGCTCCACATCTGGCTTTTTGGTAGTTTATTGGAGATAAGTGTCTAATGGACCTTCCTGTCCAGGCTGGCTTCAAACCATGATCCTCAGATCTCACTCAGCCTCCTGAGTAGCTAGGATTACAGGCATGAGCTACTGGCATCCAACTGTGCCTTGCTTTTGAGTCTAAAATGAGTTCAAGAATTTTGATGTTGATCTGAATACTAATTTGTATTTTTTTTCTATTAGAAACTGGGCAACTTTTTATTACTAGCATATAATTTTTATTACTAGTACATATTCCTGAATTATTCACTATTTTATAACATTTTATAAGCTCCTTAAGCAAAGATACTATTCTTTTATACACTCTTCTATGTATATTGAGGGCTGGAGGCGTGGCTCAGAAATAGATCACCTGCCTGTCAAGTTGGAAACTTAGAGTTCAAACCTGCAAAAAATAAAAATACTCCCAGAGATTTTTATTTTAGACACTCATTCTCACCCAGTCATTATTGTTGAGTATGTTGCATGATTGGTTTTGCTGAAATTGTTATTTCTTTAGCATGATAGTAAACGTTTGGTTGTTGCAAATGTTAAATAATCTGTCTTCAGTACTTTTCGATTAGGAAAGATGATGTACAGATCTTGATTCTTGACTTGCTTTCATCGCTAGTTTAGTGGTTCCACTCTATTGCATGTCTTCATTCAATCTCATTTTGACATGTTCCGAGCATTCAGTCAACAGTTGGTAAATGAATGCATAAATACATGATGCACACCTCATAAGTAACATGAGATCTGGATAAAATAGTCTCTTGTATAGCGTTATTTCATAAGATGGCAGAGGTCTTTCTATAACCAAGTTTCTTAACTCCTGTTTCAGGTGATCTTTCATATCATGTTTTGGTGCATACTTGTACATATGCACTCCGATTTCATGAACCATGGGAGCCATTTTGTTACATCTCAAGACTAGTATTCTACTAACTTGCTGTTTTGTGGGACAGGATGGCTGATCCCTCTCATTCTTGTCTGATGTGCCTTGCCCGAGTCAAGTAGCCACACCTTTTTCTGTTTATTCCTGTTTGTTTATTCTATTTATTTATTTATTGGTCTTGTTTATACAAAATTTTGGAAGTTAGACACATATGCTTTATCAAATACTCATACTTTGTTGCAGTTTTTTTAGTCATTTACATTTTAATTTTAACTTAAGATTATTTTTCTCTGATATGTTTCACAGGCTATAATACATTGATTTAAAAATTAAGCTGTTTTGGCATATTTGAAGTTTGTGGCATAGAAAGAGTGGCTAGCAACAGAAGAGTCACATGTTTACAAGAATAATCTGAGCTAGCAGCAGGTCATTTGTATATAATCAGGTTACTGATGAACTACTGAATATGTTAGAGAAATACTAAAAACCACCCACAGGGTTTGTCTAGGGAACCAGTTAGTGAGCTCTGGGAAGAAGTTAGGGGTAAGTGAACTAGGTTATAAAAACAGAAAGATGTCCACCACTGGTGGCTCATGCTTGTAATCCTAGGTACTCAGGAGGCTGAAATCTGAGGATCACAGTTCGAACCCAGCTCAGGCAGGAAAGTCTGTGAGACTCTTACTTCCAATTAACTACTCAAAAAAAGCCAGAAGTGGTGCTGTGGCTTAAGCATCAGAGTGCTAACCTTGAGCACAAAGAGGCTCAGGAACAGTACCCAGGCCCTGAGTTCAAGCCCAAGACTAACAAAAAATAAAAAAATAAAAAATAAAAAAATAAAAAAGGCATTGCTGAAGCTGATTGAACACAAATACGTTAATTCATACATGCACACAATAGTTCAACAAATACTTGGGTTCCTAATACAGTGCAGGTGCTTCCACAATTGATTAAGATTAACCTGTGAGCTAAGCAGCATCTGTCATCTGAGCTTGTTTCCTTTCGAGGGGAGACCTGAGGTAATCAATAAACACTTCAATATGCAGAATGATAAGCACTGCAGGAAGAACAAATTAGAGAGGGTAAGGATAGTGAGGCTTCAACCACTCTGGAAGGCAATATGGAGGTTTCTCAAAAGACTAAACATAGAACTCCCCTATGACCCAGCAATCCCACTTCTGGGCATTTATCTTAATGTCCTCAAGCTAGGTCACACTAAAGCACCAGCACAACTATGTTCATTACAGTGCATTATTTACCATAGCTAATATATGGAACCAACCCATATGCCCCTCAGTAGATGAATGGATCAAGAAAATGTGGTATACATACACAATAGAATTTTATCCTTCACCTCTTTCATGAGGAAATGGAAAGACTTGGAAAAAATCATATTAAGTGAAGTAAGCCAAACCCAAAGAAACATAGGCTCTATGGTTTCCCTCATTTATAACAATTAGTATATGCCTAGGATAGTCCTGGCAGAGAATCATAATAGCTCAAGAGCTATGTACATCTGACCATACACAATGATGCTAATTGAAATGAACTCCAAGATATGGAGTTGTCAACCTTTTTTTTTTTTTCAACCTTGATGTTACCAATGTACTATATCTAGTTCTTTCTTATTTTACTTCATTTTTCTTTTTCCATTGGTTTATCATTGGCAATCTCTGTTGTTGATTCTGGTACTTGTATATACATTTATCTGATTTGGGGCAGGGAAGGGAAATAACAAAATGATGAAAGAAGAACAAAGGATGACCCGTTGCAACAAAGATACAAGACACTAGGGCAGAAATGAACTTTATAACTTGGGGGAGGGAGTGGAGAGAGGGAAAGGGTAGTGTTAGAACAACAATGGAGTAGGTAACAATGTTCAAGAAGAAATGTAACCCCTCTGTACAGCTTCTTTACAATAAAGTATAATTTAAAAAAATGAAGGAGATGACAGTCTAATACCTGGATTTTTCTAGGCAAGTAAGAGTTGGAAAATACCTGACTTGTTAGCATTATAGGAGACTATATGATTAGGGTGAAGTAGTCTGGGATATGCAGATTAGATTGGAGTTTGTTGGGAAAGTTAGGTGAGGACAGAGGAGATAAATATATATATGTGTTAATGTAAAATCTTAGCTGATGCTGGTTTTGGGGGAGAGATGAAATTTATCCTTTGGTAATCATTTATTGAATTTATGTGCCTTTTTTGTTTATAGTAGTTTGAATATTTTCTCTGAAAATGCCTTCTTAGTATTTCTATGTTGGTTTATAGTATTAATTTCTATCCCTTCTGTTATTTGTCTTTTGTTTTCTTAAAACAGGAGTATGTTGCTGCTGCTCTGCTTTGCGTCCTCGCTACAAACGCCTGGTGGACAACATATTCCCTGAAGACCCAAAAGTAATTTGATCTACATCTACTGATCCTTCTCTTTGCTGCCCATTCTGCCCCCTGCTGACCTCCCTAAGGTTTCCCTAATTTCATTCTCTACTTTTATCCCTATGTCTCCTCATGTACACTACTACTTTTATACTTCTGCAATTCTTAAGGGATCCCTGCTTTCTTGTCTAGTTTTCAGATCTTTTATCAGGTTCAGCACAAATCTGGAATGAAAGATTCAGTACTTTGTTCTTCTGTAGGCTAGATAGGACTTAATTTAAGTAACACTAACTTAAGAGTTAGTACTAGATAATTTACACTAAGTGCTCAGGATAAAATTGTGAACAAAAATACAGCTTTCTACTCCCACCATTTGCTACACAATATTGTTGTAATAGATATATGAAGTACAAGATGTTGCTTGACAGATTGAAGCACAATGACTTGTACTTTTAAGAAAGACCTTAAGAAAATGAAGGAGCCAAAGAACAAGTAGGAATTTGCTACACAGTGTTTAGAGAATAAAGGAAATGGAGGACTGTTGTAGACAGTGCTTGAAATATTTTTTACTTAAATATTATTTTAATTTTTTATAAAAAATATTGAAGCACAATCAAGATTACTGGTTTCTAAGTAGCTGGGCTTGTATGGTTTTGCTTGACGCTGCCCTGAACTTTCTAAATGCCTGTAGTATTCCATTAAATGAATAGGAACACAAATTGTTACATGTGTTTGACTCCTAGAAATTGCTGTATTTTTAAAAAGCATGCAAAACCTTTCAGTAATGTTAACATTAACTTGAAATTGATATCAAATCTGTTTAAACACTTATCTATATATGAGAAGTTATATATAAATACTGTTGGGATTGTCAATATCCTGGATAATTTGTGGCATAAATAAACCCTAACGTATTATGCCTACCTTGAGGGAACTGACATAAAACAAAAGCTTATTAAACACTAAGGCACAGAGTGAAATCAATAAGCAAAATGCTAAGTGAATCAGGTGGTAAAAATGTTATCCCTAAAGCAAGGCAGTATCTCTGTAGCTTAGTAATCTCTAGGAAACATTCTCAGAGGAATTAAAGGATGTATGCCATCTGGAGAGATACAGAAGAGTATCCCTTTACTGCAAGGAAGGGAAAGAAAAGGTATGGGAAAGTAAGAGACAGATTCAAGGTTAGGAGCAAGCTGATCTATTAAAACTCCAAATGAAGGTTCCTGAAGCCTAATGGTAAAGTGTGTTTGGTGGTAATGGTGCTCACCATGATTTCTTATTTGAAATTTCAAATGTATTAGTTAAAAGACAGAATATTCAAATAATTATTTTCCTGAGAAGTCTGGGACATAGTTACTAAAGAAAGAGGTAGAGAACAGAATATGGAGGACAAACAAAGCATTATCTTCAATCACTTTCACTTGTACTCATGTGTGTGAGAGCTAATAAAATAGAAGTGGTTACAAAATGATTATCTTGTCAAGGGCTCAGCTAATGTTTATTTCATTAGCTGTCTGAAAAAGAAGCTAAAAGAAAATTGTCAGCTGTACATACTTATTACTCAGTTGCTATATTTCTTATTTTTAATTAACACATCCACAAATCTGGGAGTTTATTCAAACATGTCAGACAATAGTGTAGCTGCAGAGTTCCTCCCTTCAAAGAGCCTTCTGATTTCTCATCCAGTAATGGAAGTTATAAATGGGCTGTCCAATGAAGTTTCATAAGGACCCAGCTGATAACAATTCTTTGCCAACTGTTGCTTCTCTTGTGCCTGGCACATAATTGACATTTGATTAATATTAATGAAGGAAGAGACAGTATTATAAAATAAAACAGTGAGCTGGGCACTGGTGGCCTACGCCTGTAATCCTAGCTACTCAGGAGACTGAGATCTGAGGATCGTTCAAAGCCAGCCCCAGGCAGGAAAGTCTGTGAGAATCTTATCTCCAATTAACTGCCAGAAAACTGGAAGTACTAGCCTTGAGCAAAACTGCTCAGGGACCATGCTCACACCTTGAGTTCAAGCCCTACAACCACCACCAACAAATATAAAATGTAGCAGTGAAGATAAACACTAAACACCAGCTAAAAGAACATCCTATAAGCAACCTCACCAGAAGGCGTGGAGTGGGTTAATGAAAGTGATTTGGAGGAATCTGAGACTTGGCAGCTTACCAGTAGGAGTTACCTGGGAGAAGCAGGAAAGGATTTTCAAGGCAGGCTAAGTCAAAGAAGTTAGGCACAAAATTGTTGAAGTCTTCTGATTTCATTGTAAAGTAGCAACTTTAAGGAAAATGCCATAGGTCCAAATATCAGAGAGCAACTCTAGTGGGAAACAGAAAACTAACCAGAGAATGTCAAGAGGTCAATTGAGGTTGAAAGTACAAGTTCATGAAATTTTAGTTTTGTAACGTAATTTTCTAACCCCCTTTCCCACCTACTCTAGTAATCCTAAACAGCATTTAGTAAAGTAGCTCTGCCTGACCAAAGTATTTAGGGTTATGATTATAATAAATATGATTACATGGTTACATGAGGTTGGGGAAAATAATTAGACAAATACTGTATCTTTGGAGACAGCGAACAGTTTTATAATTCTATATTGGGAACTCCTGTTGATGTAACTTTTAAAAAAATACAGACTAAACGTAGATTAATACAGTTCTGGATACTTTTTATTCATTAGTTATAACAAAACTTTATAGTGATACCGAGTTCTGAATCATTACGTAACAGCAGTATGTTGTGTATGTAAAAGGTTTATTGTGGTATATGTAAAGGATTATAGGTATAGTAAACATGTAAGAATTTTAAATTGAAACAATTTTGTCTGAAATCTTTTCACTAAAATGCATTTCATTACCTATATACTACTGTTAGTTGAGCTATTTCTCTAGAAAGGAAAATGTTAGAATCCATTCATTGTTTATGAAGTACCATTTCAGTGGTTTCCTTACTGAGTTATTTAACTTTTTGAAAGTTGCATATAATCTAGAATGGTTATTAGTAGCAGTAAGGAGGTTATACTTAGAATCAAACCAAAAGGAGAAATATGAAGCAAGCAGCACTTAAAACAAAGACCCCCCCCCAAACCAAACACTCCAAAAACCCCAGGAGGCTAAAGCCAGGTGGATGATGAGTTCAAAATGGGCTACATTGCAAGATCCTGTCTAACAAAAACAAACCTAATCCAAAACAATAAAGACAGCAAAGGATAACCAAATAATTGAAGCATAGAAATATAGATGACCTTTTTATTCTGTCATTGTTTATAGGATGGCCTCGTTAAAGCTGATATGGAGAAATTGACCTTTTATGCTGTGTCTGCTCCAGAGAAGCTGGATCGCATAGGTGCCTATTTAGCAGAAAGGCTGAGCAGGGATGTTGTCAGACATCGTTCTGGGTAAGAAAACTAATTGCTACTCATGTCTATCTTCCTAGTCTAAGTCATCTTATTCTAAATTACCTTGCCATTTAGTCAGGCAAAGACTATAGGATAAAACATTGCAGTAATATACAAAGAAATGTGTAAAATAGATTTTACAGCTCATGTTTTTTTGGATTTTTAGGTATATACTCAAGTTATCAGTTACCTTTATCTTTAGCATCCATTAGGTTTTGAATTCCTCTGATGATAATTCATTGAGAATTGACTTTCTTAACGTGTGATACTATAATTTACAAATCAACCTATAAATTGAAACAAACAGAACTATCCTGTTAACTAAGTGATTCTTGACATAGTTTCAGTTTGACCTCTCAGAGTAAAAGATAACTTTGTTTGGCTTTGCTATCGAGGTCCAGTGGATATGAGCACACTAATTTGGAATTGAACTAAATATACTTTTGCCTTTAAATAGAGACCTAACCAGCCTGATCCATCCTCAGTGCTCTTGAACAAGAGTGAACCTTGCCACTCGAATTTTAACTATTGCCTGTGTTGTCATTTAATCACCTAGTTTCTTGGGGTAATCCACTTCCAGGTGATGCATTAGCTTCTGTGCTTTTATACTGTTACCATTTAGAACATGTCGGTAGGTTCTGGCAAAGGTGGTTTTTATAAGTGGTTATTAAAGGAAAATTATCTAAAAACTGAATTTTAATTTAAAGACTGAAGACTTTGTTAAATATTTCCTTGTAATCTAATTTTAAAAATCACTTAGAGAGTTGAGATCTAGAAATGAATTGACATTGCTTTTCTCTTGCATTTAGGTATGTTTTAATTGCTATGGAGGCTTTGGACCAACTTCTTATGGCCTGCCACTCTCAAAGCATCAAGCCATTTGTAGAAAGCTTTCTTCATATGGTAGCAAAGCTACTGGAATCAGGGGAACCAAAGCTTCAAGTTCTTGGGACAAATTCTGTGAGCAAAAGTATTCTCTCCTAATTTCAAGTTTAACTCACGTATGTAGAATTAATTATAATTACTGGCAGGTGTAGCTTGTTAGAAAAGTATATAAGTAAAATCATTATACAAAAACTATATGATTTTGTCCCTTTATTTTAGTGGGAAATACTGGGTATTTCCAGATATAGTAGATGATAAGATAAACTTAATTTCCTGAACGATAGTTCCTTAAGACTTATCTATTTCTTTTACAGTTAGGTCAGGAAAGTTTATGGGAAATAGCTCCATAGCTGGAGAGCATGGGTAGTGTGTGTTTCCAGAAGTTTCTTCCAGCTAACAGTGCTGTTAGGATTAATTTAATGAGTCATTTGGTCAGAAGACCAAAATCCCCAGTTGTCTACTTTCAAGTAAATGTGTCTTGACCAACACAATGTATCTATCTCTGGAAGTCTAATTTTAGTTTCTTTGTAGTGCTGAGTGCATTATATCGTCAAACATAATGGTTTTTGTTTTTGTTTTTTCCAGTCCTGGGGCTTGAACTCAGGGCCTGGGCACTAATCCTGAACTTCATTTGCTCCAAGCTAGCATTCTACCTCTTGAGCCACAGTGTCGCTTCTGGCTTTTTCTGTTTATGTGGTACTGAGGAATTGAACCCAGAGCTTCTAGGCCACATTCCCATCCCCAACATGAATGGTATTTTATATTTATTAAAGGACTTTGTATGCTTAATTTGTTGAAATGGCCATTTTTTGTTGATGCCAACCCAGTATGACTTAATACATGTAATTATTTAGGTTCTCTTGTTTCAGGCATTTGGCTAGGTATTTTTTATTTTTGTGTTTATTTTTGTTTTGCAAACTTTCAAATATAGAAAAGAGTAAGAGATGACATAGAGTATACTTATGTATATTCTGAATCAAGCAAGAACAATGTTAAGCAACAATACTATTGATAAATAATAACATGTACTACTTGAGTATCCCTAATAGCAAATTATAAATGCTCCACATTTATCTTGTCGGTTGTGGGACTTGAACTCTGGGCTTGGGCGTTGTCCCTCAGCTCTTCAGCTCAAGGCTAGCGCTCTACCACTTGAGCCATAGCACCACTTCCAGTTTTCTAGTGGTTTATTGGAGATAAGAGTCTCACGGACTTTCCTGCCCAGGGTGGCTTTGAACTGCGATCTTCAGATCTCAGCCTCCTGAGTAGCTAGGATTACAGGCATGAGTCACCAGCGCCCAGCTAATGCTCCAAATTTTTGAGCACTGTGGATCAGATTTTCAGATTACAGATATTCAACTAGCAAAGTGAAGAAAATGTTCTATGCAAATAAGGTCTCAATGAAATCTGAAATACTTTTAGTTTTGAGCATTTTAAATAATATTCAACTTAAACTAATTTTTGTTATAAAAATAATCCATTATGGTTATGAATGTTAACTTTATACAACTTTGGCTCAAGGTCTGTAGAGATATAGTATGTGGTAAGCTCTACATATATTATGTAACTTAATTCTCATGAAACTTTCTATACCCAGAATTCAAATCCACTACTAACAGCCAGTCTGCAATCTCTTCATACTGTGTCTCCTCAATATGCCTTCTCTTTCCTTACATATGATAAATCTGTTATGATAATACCTTTATTTTACTGATGCATTTTATCATAGACCTTATATAGTTAGAATTTAATGCTAAAAAGCTTCCAGGTTAGGGGAGTTAAAATATACTCATCGACTGGGAAGGAAGATGAGCTCCATCCAGTTCTCTGAGACAGCAGCCACTCAAATTTTATCTGTTTCTTTATGCTTAAGTGCAGTTAGTACGAGCTGCTTCTTTTTTTTTCTTTTACTTTTATTTATTGTGAAAATACCATACAGAGGGGTTACAATTACATGGGCAAGGTAATGAGTACATTTCTTATCAAGCATTGTTGTCTCCTCCTTTGTTTCCCCTTCCCATTCCTTCCTATCTTCCCCCCCCCCCACGTCAAAGTTGTAAAGTTTGTTTTTTAACATAATGTCTTGTACATCTCATTGTTGCAGTGGATCCACCTGTATCCCTATTTAAAACAAGAAGGATGGCCAATAGACACATGAAGAAATGCTCAACCTCCCTAGCCATAAAAGAAATGCAAATCAAAACAACATTGAGATACCACCTCACCCCAGTTAGAATGGCTATAATCAAGAACTCTAATAACAACAGATGCTGGAGGGGATGTGGACAGAAGGGAACCTTACTTCATTGTTGGTGGGAGTGTAAACTTGTTCAACCACTTTGGAAAGTAGTATGGAGGTTCCTCAAAAGACTCCACATAGCGCTCCCCTATGACTCAGCAATCCCACTTCTGGACATTTACCTGAATAATCACAACAAGACCACACTAAAGCTACCAGCCAACCATGTTTATTGCAGCATTATTTACCATAGCTAAGATATGGAACCAACTCAGATGCCCCTCAGTAGATGTCTCCATCAGAAAGAATGACATCACCCCATTTGTTAGGAAATGGAAAGACTTGAAAAAAATTATATTAAGTGAAGTAAGCCAAGCCCAAAGAAACATAGGTCTCATGGTTTCCCTTATTTGCAATAACTAGTATATGTCTGAGACAAGCAGAAGCGGTCAGATAAGTTGATGTTAGGCAAAAATGAACCCCAAGATAAGGACTCAAATGTTTTTTCTTTCTTGCTATTGTTTCTAACATATTTATAAGATACTTATTTGTTGCTTTGTATGTTCCTCCCCCATAGTATAACCTGTTTTCACTGTATTTGATATAGGAGCTACTTCTATTAATAATTACCAGAGCTTGCTAGTACTGTGATTTTTCAGTAAATGGCAAGAGAACAAATCTTTCCTTCTAAAAATTCTCTACAACACTGAACTTTTTTGCTTCTAATACCTTTTTCTGTTTTAAAAGTAAGGTTTTATAACAAATTAGGAAAATGCTAAATATTATAAAAGAGTAAAATGAATGCAAAGTCAATTTCAAAATTTAGAAGTAATTCTTCAATGGTTATTTTCTTACATTTAGTAGTTATTGCATATACAGATCATATGTGCTTTAGCACTCCTTTTTCCCTTTGTGGAGTTTTCTACTCATGTAGTCTGTATATAATACGGTACTCTCGAGAATTGCAGTCAAATCCCTGTGCTGTCATGGCAGTTCAACATTCACTAAGTAGGTCAATTAAAAAAAAAAAGACTAAACCTCTGACGTGCAGTGTTTCTAGCTATAGAGTGAATGGAATTCTTTGTAAGTTGTTGGACCACTTAGAGAGGAAACCAATATATAATACAAAATAGGTAATGGTTCTGTGTTCTGTCTGAACTTAGTACCCTTTTCTAGATAATATAAATCTTGTAAAACAGCTTAGCCCTAGTCAGAGTAACTTAATATCTTTTTGTAATCTTATTTTTTCTAAATTTATTCTGTGCTCATTTCAATTTTGTTTTCAGGAAAGATTAATAACTCATGATTTTGGTTGAATAATCTTTTTGGATAGAGATTTTAAAATCTGTCAGTCTCTATATACTCCTGGTTGGAGTATATGCATGTATTTCTGTATTTACAGGTAAATCAGGCAATTTAGTACATAGAAGTAATAAATTACCAGGTGAATGAAAAAGCTTGCAAGAAAAAAATGTGTATTAAGGAGTTTTAGGGACTGAATCTGACACATGGAGAGTTTTGAAAATCTAGACATAACGGATTTCTTTTTTTTTTTTTTTTTTCTCAATTGTGGGGCCTGAGCTCTGGGCCTAGGAGCTATCCCTCAGCTCTTCAGCTCAAAGCTAGCACTCTACTACTTGAGCCACAGGCCACTTCTGGGTTTTTCTGCTTACTTATGTGGTGCTGAGGAGTTGAACCCAGCTCCTCATGCATGCAAGACAAGCGCTCTACCACTGAGCCACCTTCCCAGCTTGTAATGGATTATTATTATTTTTTTTTGTCGGTTGTGGGGCTTGAACTCTGGGCCTGGGTGCTGTCCCTTAGCTCTTCAGCTCAAGGCGAGCGCTCTACCCCTTGAGCTACAGCGCCACTTCCCTGTAATGGATATTTTTAGTGATTACAAAGGAGGTAAAACAAGCCAGGCATGGTGGCTTGTACTATCACCCTAGTACTCAGAGCACTGAAGTAGAAGGAGCATGAATTCAAGGCCAGCCTGGATTACATAGTGAGATCCTATCTAAAAAAAAATAAAAGGAAGTAGAATAGATTTTTATCCTTTTAAGTATTTTCATTTACTATTGAGTGATCATGTTTCCTACCAGATATTTTGTTCTCCCATCTTGTATAAATTTTATTCATTTGGGTACTTTCACTTGTCAAGTAGTAGCTGATAAAAAGATTTTCTATTCACAGTTAAGAAACACAATTTGAGCCAGGCATAGTAGTACATGATTTTTGTAAACCTAGCACTGGAGAAAGACAATGAGGCAAGAACATTGTGATTATAAAGATTCAACAGGGTGTGTACAATATGACCCAGTCTCAACAAACGAAAAAACCCAAAAGATACCATTTGGTAGAGATTATAGCCTAAATATGCCCATTACTAAAAGAAAACTATCAGAATCCAAGAAATGGAAACAAGCTTTATAGAGTATGAACTCTCCTTCTACATAGTACGCCGCACCCACATTATAGATTGTGCTTAATATTTAGACTAGCATGTCCATGATATTAGAAGAGTTCACTATTAAAAAATTTCTTCTGCCAGATACCAGTGGTGTTGCGAGGCTGAGAATGGGAGGATCACAGTTTGAGGCTAGCCTAGGCAGATAAGTTTGCAAAGACCCCTTGACACATGACAAGCTTAAAAGTGGCAGATAGCTGTCCCAGTGCTCACGTGGGCTCAGTGAGTTCAGTTAGCAGAAGAGTCTCTACAAAGCGGATAGCAATAGGACTGGAGGTGTGTGGCAAGTAGAAGGCTCCAACACCAAAAAGGAAAAAATTCTTTTGTGTATATGCAGTACTTTTTGGCATTTGATGTTTTATATATTTTATTTGCTTCTTGTGCAGATAGTGGAGATATAAATGAGTTCGGTATTTTCAGAAAGATAAATATTGTCCATATTGTTGCTTTTGTTTTTCAGTTTGTCAAATTTGCAAATATTGAAGAAGATACACCATCCTATCACAGACGATATGACTTCTTTGTATCTCGATTCAGTGCCATGTGTCATTCCTGTCACAGTGACCCCGAAATACGAACAGAGTATGTGTTAACTTAAAGATGAATATTGTGTTCATATATTAGATCATGATTTTCAAAGGAATTGAGAATATGAGTGAACCAGCTTGCACTGTTAGGCGCTGGGACAACCACTGTAGCTGCAGAGTGGTTTCCCAAGTTCCTCTCTGAAGTGCAGCCTGGGCTGTAGCCTAGAATGGCCTTTCATGTTCTCTACCTGTCCTGAACCTCCTGTCATCTGCTCCTGCTCTCTCCAAACCAACTGAACATATGGGTAGACTTCTTGAGGGCCTTTGAGCACCTTGATTTCTCTGCTTATCACAACTCCCAGGCTGTCCTCAAGGCTTGTTACCTCAGTCTGTTCCAGTGTTTCCTCAAATGTCTCTTTACCTAGAGATTTCTCCCTTAGACTTCGTTTATTAAACATCAATCCTCCTCTCGCACTCCTAGTTCTTTTTGGTCTTCCTGTTTATTATATCTGTCTCCTCCTCACTCTTCTGTAGTATAAACTCCAGTGAGACAAAGGCTTTGTTTTGAGGACTGCTGTTTCAGTAAGCACTCTGCATTGTGCTTTATTCAGAGTAAGCTCCCAATTAGTACTTTTTGAATAAATAGATTAATTGAATGAAGAAAAGAATGTATTCTGTTGAAGGAGTCATTGTTAGACTATGATTGTCATGAACACTGACTTTGCATCTTCTTCTTGCTTCTGGATATTTCCTAATAAAAATCTGGTGTTTATATGAATACAAAACATAAATTGATATCTATATATAAATGAGAAACATTGACCCTAAAGCCAACAAATAGCTATACTAACTATAGAAAATATTTTAAGCATTACTGTATGCTATTCATCTAAAAAAAAGAAACAACCTGAATTTAGAGTTATTGTGGGTAGTTGGTAATCAAGATTTAACCTTCTTTATAAATTTTAGTTTCTTTTAAAATAAAGTAGTACTTAGAGACTTAACTAGCTTAGAATTTGCAAGCTGTAGTGTTATTTTAACTAAATGAAGCCTCTCCTGAAAGTTACTTTAATTTGAAAAAAGGGGAAGATGTAATAAGCATTTTTCAGATATGACTTTTCTATTACTATAATTTTTCCTCAGAATAATAATAGGCCTTTTACAGTCCTTTTTTTTTTAAATTGATCATACATAGGTTTCACCTCTAGCTCTGGAGCTTGCTAGATATGCCTAGGGGCTGTTAATTCTTTATTATAGAATTCGTTCCTTTAGAAGATGGCAAGGAATAGTTTCTTTTCTTTTTTTTGTTGGTTGTGGGGCTTGAACTCTGGGCTTGGGTGCTGTCCCTTTGCTCTTCTGCTCAAGGCGAGTGCTTTACCTCTTGAGCCATAGCTCCACTTCCGGTTTATTGGAGATAAGAGTCTCAGGGATTTTCCTGCCTGTGCTGGCTTTGAACTGTAATCCTCAGATCTCAGCCTCCTGAGTAGCTAGGATGACAGGCCTGAGCCACCGGTGCCTGGTGAATAGTTTCTTGTCTATTCCATTCACCACTAAAATTCTTTTGTTCTTCCTAAAGGACAGTTTTAAATGTTTCATAAAACTTTCATGTTTCTAGTCATAGTATTTCTAAAAGGATGCATTTAATAAATATTAAGTAAAATCATAGACATGTTGTATAAGCTTGCCTTATTTCTAGGCACTTATCACCCCCTAGTGAAATATCCTGTCTTTTGAACAAATTTCTACCCTTTTAGGGATTGCAAAATGAATTTGAAATGTTCTGTATACAAAAAATGGCTTAGATAAAGTTATTTTTCCTAATCATAGATCTTTCTGATATTTTATATTTGAACTTCCCAAATGCAAAGATATCATTTGTATTGTGAAGCAAATGAGTAAATTAAATGCTTTAGGACAGAGGATTTTTTTTTTACTTGCTTAACTTTAATTAAAAGCTCATTTAGTTTCCTCAGATGAATTTATATTCCCTTTCATATTCTAACTTAGATACATATTTTCATCAGAACCCTGTCTTACAGAAGCCAGAGGAGTGACAGTAGGGATGAGGCTGGTAACTAGTAAGGTTTTCGTAAAACATTTCCGTGGTTCTCACTAGTAAACTCCTATATCACAAGCTTAAGCTCTGAGCTCCCAAAGACCTTTCTGCTGTAGTGGAGCCATCCTCACCATGGCTGGGGCAGGAGTTGTTTAGGCCCTTTATGTGAATCGACTCACTGAAGTCTTTTTTTTTTTTTTAATAAAGTTTATGAGTTCTATGAGCTTTGACAATACAGTTATTTCTTCCACTTTTGCATAGTGTCAGCTGTCACTGAAGTCTTTAGAGCATTCCTAGGCTATAGACACCGATGAGAAACTTAACATTCCTTTGGGGGCCATGGCTAGAAGGCAGTTAGCCAGATTTCAATCTGGATTGGATGCTAGCGTGCTAGCTCTTGGAAGGTAGCACTAGCATCCCCCACTCCTCAGTAAGGCCCGACATCTGCTGTTCCACTAGTCTTCTGTGCTGGGCTCTCTGCGACCTTGTTGTTGTCACCCATGGCATAGCAGCGGCAGGCTTGCAAATCAGACCACTTGTAGTCATGTTAGGCTTGTCCACCTCCTGATGTGTTTCTGTTTTTGAAAACTGCCTCTGTAGCCAGAGCTTAGGGATAGGCAACATTTATTTGTCCGTGATAACGAGCTTGATTTTTCATCTGTCACCTAGCACTGCTGTTTCCCACTCTCCCTTTCTGCTCTGAAATGCCTGCACTGTTTCTCTATGCTTTGTAAAGCACTGCTGCTTCCTTCTCCAGATAGTCTATGCTCCATATCTGTTTATAGTATCTGAAAGACAATGTAGATAAGCTAGTACGCCTCTAAATGGTGAGTATTTTAGGTAGTAGGAAATAGTAGAAGAAAAATGGAAGCAGTTTGGCCAGGAGGAATATATTTTAGGGTCTCCATTTACCTTGCCTTTTACAGCTTTTAAAAGCTGTGTTTAATCAATTTTCTCTTTCTTGAAGCTTCTACCCAAACACCTCCACCAGTGAAAGTAAGGGAAGTGCCGGATGCCAGTGCCTCACACCTGTAATACCTACTCAGGAGGATCGTGGTTCAAAGCCAGCCCGGGCAGAAAAGTCCATGAGGTCTTACCTCCAATAAACTACTCCAAAAAAGCTGGAAGTGGCTCAAGTGGTAGAGTGCTAGCCTTGAGCACAGAGACTCAGGGATAGTGCCCAGGAGCTGAGTTGAAGCACCAGGACTGGCAAAAAAAAAAAAAAAAAAAAGGCTTGAGGAAGTTGGAGACTGTGAACTGGGATGGGAAGATGGGACAGCACTAATAAATTATGTATTGTACAAGTGATGTATGTGTGCACTAAATAGAGTCATGCTTTTGTAAGAAGCAACATCTTTTGACATGTTCAATTGTAACCCCTTTGTACAAGTATTTAAAGATAATAAAAATAGAATAATAATAAAAAAAGAACATCTCATCCTAAGAGGTGAGGGCCCCTGGGGAGAAACACGGAGAGAAGTTTGGAGAAGCTACTCAGAAACCATGAAATCCTCCTCAGGCAGCCTTTAGACTTGTAGACAAGAAATGGAGAACATCTCCTTCACATTAGTTTGAACTATCATCGTCATCTTAGGGAAACCTGTTGTTTTGGTTTGGTTTAGTTTTGGTTTTGTTTCTTTTTGTTTTGGGTTTTTTTTTTTTTTTTGAGGTTTGAGTCTCCAGCATTGAACAAGAAGACCTGTTTTGTTTAGTTTTTAACCAGCAAATTATATGTCCTGGGTGTTTTCTGTATTTAAGCTTTAAATGCTGATTTTTCAAAAGGTTGTATTCAGAGTAAGTCTTTCTTGGACATATCTTGTTGTCCACCCTAGATTTTTATTTTTTATTTTTATTTTTTTTTATTGTGAAAATACCATACAGAGGGATTACAATTACATGGGCAAGATAATGAGTACATTTCTTTTTTTTTTGTCGGTCGTGGGGCTTGAACTCTGGGCCTGGGCGCTGTCCCTCAGCTCTTCAGCTCAAGGCGAGCGCTCTACCACTTGAGCTACAGCGCCACTTCCGGTTTTCTGGTGGTTTATTGGAGATAGGAGTCTCACAGTCTTTCCTGCCCGGGCTGGCTTTGAACCGCGATTCTCAGATCTCAGCCTCCTGAGTAGCTAGGATTACAGGCGTGAGCCACCAGCGCCCTGCATGAGTACATTTCTTATCAAGCATTGTTGCTCCTCCTTTGTTTAGATTTTTATTTTTTAGACTTTTACTTTAATATATTTAATTGTTAAGACACAATATTTTCTTAATATTCACTCTTTAGGTAAGCAAGTGGATTCACTTAAAATAACTTCTCATGGCTCATTTTTTTACCTCATCATCACAGAATCCGAATTGCTGGAATAAGAGGAATTCAAGGTGTGGTTCGCAAAACAGTTAACGATGAGCTTCGCGCTACCATTTGGGAACCTCAGCATATGGACAAGATTGTTCCATCCCTCCTGTTTAACATGCAGAAGACTGAGGAAGCTGACAGGTACGGGATAAAGACGAGGGAGTTGGGTTGCTCTTGTACTTGCCTAGGATAAAGGTGTTTTGTCTTAAGGATTATATAACAGAGTTAAGTGGATTTAAAAGTATGTGCCTTTCAGGAAAAAATACTGCAGGAATGACGTCAAACATACTAGCCACTAATTTTTATTCACACACTAGAGCCTTATTTTCTTTGAGAATGTTTATACTATTGACATCTAGGTTGCACTTTTAATTAATACTACTTAAAGATGAAACTGTGAGAAATAAAAATTGTAGCTGAACTCGTATTATTCCTTTGAGACCTAGCATGTTCTTTCTTAGATAGTTAAAACTAATAATAATACAATAAAAATTAATAATAATTGCAATAATAATGAGTTTCCATAGATTTTATTTTTCAACAAAACGTTAAGGCACTGTTCCTTTTTTTTTCCCTAAGGTATTTTGGAGTAATATACTGATTTTGGATATATGTTGGCTTTGTTTTTCCTCCATAGTGTTCACATATTTATATCCCCTCTTCAAGTGCCAGAAGCACATAATCTGTTGTTGGAGATACTGTGTGATTCAGTTAAAAAAACAGTTTTCTAATTTGCTTACAATCCTGATCTGAAATTTAAAGAGGAAAATCTGGAGCAGACTTAATTCTATAGTTAATTCTTTAAAAACAATTATCATCATAGTGATATATACAGCATCCAGATAAAAATAGTTTAGAATTGGCTATTCAATAACTGTTCATATCAGTTTATTCTAACTACAAAAAGGATTTATGCTTAGTTCCTTAGATGTGATGATTTCCAACTTTAGAATCCTTTCTTAAAAGTGTGAAATTTGATAAATTTTTTCACCTGCTTTTTCTTGTTTTGGTGCTATAACTGAAGCTGTTTTACTTAAAATATTTACAATGTAAAAATTAATGAATTGGGAGCCCATTTTCCCTACTTCCAGCTCTTCAAGTCCAGTTTTAAGATGTAAGATTCAAGAAACAAACTAGATTGTAAAATCTGAAGAAATTGTGTTTTCTCATGTATACAGTGCCAGAGATATGCTTGTTGTTATTATTATTGCATGTTTTTTCTAAACCAATGTTTTAAAACATGAACAAAACAAATTCTGTATATTAAAGACATCTGTATATACAAGTGTGCATCTTACTTTTATCCCATTGCAGTTAAAATGAGCACGGGGTCTTTGTGGTCCTTTGGACACTTTTCTTACTAAGACTTTGCTGTACTGTAGAGATATATGGAAGTACAAGAGAAGCAAGCTGCTGAATTTTACTTATGAAAAGACATTCTGTTAGAATAGGTTACCAGCTGAGTTTAGTCCTCCCTATTCAAAGATTATGTGATTAGCTTTGGTGTTAGTACATTCATGAGGTCAGAATAAAGCCTTAAAGTTACTTAGGGATAAAAGAAATGTCTCTGTAACATTTTTGTGAAATGAAGTCTATTTTGTCTCACTGGTAAAACTAATTTTAGACTTCTTCTTTCAGTCTTTATTTTTCTCCTTTTTTTTTTTAGTCGCCTAGGCCCTCCTTCTTCTCCTTCCGCAGCTGAAAAAGAAGAGAATCCTGCTGTGCTGGCTGAGAACTGCTTTAGAGAACTGCTGGGGCGAGCAACTTTTGGAAATATGAATAATGCTGTTAGACCAGTTTTTGCGTAAGGACTTAGTGTTTTCCTGGTTATCTGTGACTTGCCTATATTATATGTTAATTAAGAAGACAAATACTTTTTTACTTGCATGACTGAGCTTTTATTGGAAACTGAAACATTGTGGAAGTAATGTAGGATTCAGTCTGAATACATACATATTAAGTCAGATTATAGACACATACATACATTCAATCTGAATGTATGTTTAAGTACTCAAATTCAGCAACTAAACTAGTGTTTCCCTTGTAAATACAAGCCACACTAACATATTTAAAATCATGTACGTCAGATAACTTGAATTATCTATTTACAGACTTTGAGATGCATTTTGCAGTGACATATTTAAATACAATATTCAAGTCTGAAAGACCTTGTTCTACTAACTCCTATATATTCAGCTCTTCCTATTCCCTTAGCCTTCTTTTTACCAAGCGTGGCTCCTTTAGGTCTTTCTCACTTCCCAAGTAAGATTTATCTTTCATTCAGAAACTCAGAGTGAAAATGTTAAGTATCTCCTTGGTCCTTACATCCTACACTCCAGGTAAAATACAGTTTTGAGCTTTGAGTTTTTCCACGTAAACATTCTATCAAGCCTTTTGTTTTCCAACTGACCCATCAAATGAAAATGTTCTATACAACATAATTGTTGAACTGTTCGGTTAATCTTTCTTTTGTTAAAGTTTTCCATATGCTTTTCTTCATCAAAACATGATAATGGGATTAGCATATAAAGAATATTCTGAATGTAGCATTTGGAATTCTTTAGGATATAGGTTTTTGTCACAGGGTTCAAAACTGACCTTTAAGTTACAAGAATCTATAAACTGTGAAATTATCTTAGAAATCAGATAAACATTTTTGAAAACTTCTGTGATGTTTCATCTGTTAGGTCAGCTGTTTGAAGGCTGTGGGCTTATGAAAATGTTACTAAAAATACCAGAATTAAGTTAACAATATTAAAGGAAGGGGTTGTTTTTTAATGTCTGTATACTGACTTAATGTTAGGATTCAAGATAGCTAGACTAGAAGCAAGATGATCAAATTAACTTGAGTAACTTGAATTAGCTACATTCTTTTCTACAAATCCTTAAACTTAAATCCTGATTGTATGTTAATCAAACCAAATGTTAATTAAATAACACGTAGTTATTTGTTAGCTATTTAATTAATTAAATGTGAAAGGCCATGTACAAGTAAGGTACCAGATATTTGGGGAATATATAATGAACATACTTGATGGATGATTAACATGCATGATAATGATAACATATGGACTGAACAAAAGTAAAAAGTGATCTAGCATTTCACTATAAAGAATTCATGCCTACGTTGAGAATTTCAGAGATGGTAAGTTGCTGTGGATATTTTACTGAATGTTTTAGTTTAATACTGAAGTAGGATTTTTTTTTATTTGCATTGCTACTTGTTTCTATGGGGAATAAATGAATGATTCAGCAAGAATTTTGAGTAACATGTTTTAAATCAATAGTGAGCACCAAGACACTGATACCATTGACTGGAATACTGGGTAAGTTAAGTGCTAATGTGAGTTAAGAAAGTATAGGCTACACTGTAGAGACGATAATATTTTATATTTATACCTGTAATTATTGGATGATTTTAGCTTAAAGTTGTGAGATTGTCAGAACTTTTTCTTTGCAATGTTAAAGAAGCTATGCAGGAAAGATTTTAACCAGGGAATTGTTAAAGCAATTTTTAATTGTTACTTACAGGCATTTAGATCATCACAAATTATGGGATCCTAATGAATTTGCAGTTCATTGCTTTAAAATCATAATGTATTCTATTCAGGTAAGATTTGGTTAACTATTCTTTATATAAGTAATTTGTATGGATAAACACATTGAGCAGCTATTGAAAACTAGCATAAAAAATGTTTTTAACTTAGCAGTTTGTCTCATTTTTCTGTACCACTTCTCATTTGCTAAGATGGAAAATGTCTTATAAAAAGAACTAAAACTCTTTATGGTGGCACTCTTTATTTTTCATATGCTTAATATATGAATTATGTATTTATATTAACTGATGAACTGGTATTTGGATTCACTTATACCAGCAGTTATTTTAGCTGCTGTAACAACTAACATTCATTTACTGATTACTATTGAGACGTACTTTTATTAACCAGTCTTTTTTTTGTTGTTGTTGTTGTTGCTCATGGGGCTTGAACTCTGGGCCTGAGCGCTGTTCCTCAGCTCTTCAGCTCAAGGCGAGTGCTCTACCACTTGAGCTATGCGCCACTTCTGGTTTTCTAGTGGTTTATTGGAGATAGGAGTCTCACAGTCTTTCCTGTCTGGGCTGGCTTTGAACTGCGATCCTCAGATCTCAGCCTCCTGAGTAGCTAGGATGACAGGCGTGAGCCACTGGTACCAGGCTTATTAACCAGTCTTAATAGAACCTTATGATTAAATACCTAACGGCAAAGGAAAAACTTGTTTTGGTTTTTGGGTTGTTTTTTTACCCCTCAAAATGTGAAAAGAACTGGTTAGCTCTTAATTCAAACAGGATTTGAAGTCTTTTAGACACCATTTACTTTTTTTGTGAGGTCAGTGGGGTAAGTGCAGCATTGAGCTCGGTTCTTAATCATACTTTGGTCAGAGTAGACTTTACTTGTATATTCTTAGAATTTGTCTGTAACTTTGGGCAAGTTACTATTTGACCTATTTGCACTGAATTGCATGTTATAATTGAATTGAACTTTTCTCATAGTGCTTTTGTGCATGAAATAAAGTACATACATGTAAAGTATTTATAATGTGTCTGATACCTGGTTACTTTTGAAAATAAAGTGCATTTTGTCCCCATTTCTGATATGTTCAATGCTATAGGAAGGAATGTAATAGCCCCCAAGTCACCAATTGAAGAGTAATAATGCTATCTAATACTCAGTACTTTCACTGACTCTAATGTATCCTGGTTGGGCAGTAAATCAAATGGCTACCTTCATATTAAGATAGACTCTAATTACATGGGGTTCCCACATCAGGTGATTCAGCTTTCTAAATTGTTATGAAGGTATTTATGTTACTAAAGAAAAGTCAGAAATACCTGGATGTGAATTCTCCACTTTTTTTTGCTGTCAACTTCCTTTAGGCTCAGTATTCTCACCATGTCATCCAGGAGATTCTTGGACACCTTGATGCTCGTAAGAAAGACTCTCCACGGGTTCGTGCAGGTATCATTCAGGTTCTGTTAGAAGCTGTTGCCATTGCTGCTAAAGGTTCCATAGGTAAGTGCCTGTCAGAACAACAAAATCAAGGAATGCATTACTGTGTTTCAGGGTCTATTTCTCCAGTAGGCATAGCAGTGTGTGAAGTACTGCTCTGACTATGTAGACATAGTTTTGCATGTGCTATGATTTCTCTTGAGATTTTGGGTTTGTGTCATTATTCTCAGGGTTATTTAGTGCATAGATAAGCATTTTTCTCAATCAGTCTCTTTTCCTTCTATTTGGACAGTGGTTTTTAAATATAATTTATATACTGAGCATTGGCAGAAGACAGAGTTAAAAGTAGTACTGATTAAACATTCCTAATCCAAAAATCTGTAGTCTGAAATGCTTCAGAACCTGAAACTAGTTTTAGTGCTGACATGATGCCACAAGTAAAATTCTGCAATCAACATCATGTGATGTTATAGTCAAAATGTAGGAGCATTTAAAAGCTAATGTAAATTTCTCTTCAGCCTATGTGTAACATGTATATGTGAAGGACAAACGAATTTTATGTTCAGACTATGGACACATACCTAAAATAGCTCATTATATGGATTATGTAGATATGTCTGTGTACATTCAAACCACACACACACACACACACCTATAAGCATCCCCACCCACATGCACATATTTCAAAATCTAAAACACTTCTGGTGACAGGTTTACTGAACTGTAGTTTACTTGTACTTCACTCTACCTACTATAAAGCAGACTTGATCACATATCATGAGAAAACCAGGGCTCCAAGAAGGGAAATAAAATGGATAGCATCATCAAAATCTTATATGACCTATTTGTAGATTGTGTAGTGTTGGAAAAAAGTCAGAGAAATGGTATGAAGTTAAAATTGCAAATGTATTTTGGACCAAGTCCTATAATTCATTGACAGTTTTAAAGACTTACTATAGTCTTATCAGAGATGCATTATAGCTGATGCCAGTGGCTCACACCTGTAATCTTTGCTACTTAGGAGAGTGAGACCTGAGGATTGCAGTTTGAAACAAGCCCAGGCAGGAAACCACCAAAAAGCTAGACGTGGTACTGCTGCTCAAGTGATAGATTACTAGCTTTGAGCAAAAAAGCTCAAGGACAGTATCTGAGTTCAAGCCCCAGGACCAGCATCAGAAAGATAGAGGGAAGGGAGAAGGGAGGGAGGAAAGGAGGAAGGGCAAGGAGGAGAGAGAAGAGAGATACATTATAACCCCACTGTCTGTACAAGGGAAAGACCTTGTGCTCATTTAGTAGGACTTGAGAACTGTATAGTCAGGAATGAAGAGAACATGTTAAGAGCCAAGATGTTTCATCTGTATATTAATTTCTTTAGAAAGGTCTGTAATAGCAATATTGAAGTATTTTTCTTTAAAATCAAAATGAAAAGAGATATTCTAATGCTCTTCAGTGTTAAATAATGATGGGCACTTGTCTACAGACATTTCATAATCATAATTTATCTTTAAAAATAAAAGTAAGCTATTGATTGGCAAGTTATTTGAAATCTGAAGTGATAATGTTTTGAAGCCCCATACGTAATGTCTGTTGTGTGTTAGGCATTGTGTGCTAGGCTCTGTACATTTGAAAAAGTACTTAACCATGGCTCCCTTTCTTGGGACATTTCTAATTGAGAATAAAGGCCAGAAATGAAACCCCTAGATGCAGTAATAGAAACATGTGAAGAATTACTTGTAGTCAAAAGGCAGAGAATAAATCAGTTGATGTGAAGTGAATCTGATAGGCTGATTAGTTTCTGTCCCATAACTAAGAGAATTCTTCATTTAATTTAGTAAGTTATACAGTATTTTTTTGTGTGTGTAACTGTGAGATACTATAATTTGTATGGATTCTGATCCATCAATCAAATTAAATATAATCTCAGTATACATTGTTTTGATTTTTACAGATTAGATAGGTAAATGTGCACATACACATTTTTATATGTTTATAGCATAGTCAGACAGGGAATTACTTATAGATAGATACCTAGTAAATGTTTGCTGGTATAACTAGAGTACCTTGTTGATTAAATATTTCACATTACAAAATAAATTTCATAAATTACTATGCATTTTTGATACTTAGAAAATAATGAAAAAAGCCGTTGGGAAGTCAGATTGCTTTCATATATGCTCATTATTGGGAAAGTGTATTTGCTCACAGCCAATCCTTGACAGGGCCCACAGTGCTGGAAGTCTTCAATACCTTACTCAAGCACCTGCGTCTTAGTGTTGAATTTGAAGCCAGTGATTCACACAGGGGATCTGTAGGCAGTGTCACCTTAAGTTCCAAAGACAATGATGAGAAGATTGTGCAGAATGCTATCATCCAAACAATAGGTGAGTATTTCACCATTCACACTTACCATATTCAACAGTGATGAACAAGTTCTCACGTAAATTACCATTGCCAAACAGGGATGATAGCTTGGACTTGTAAAAATTGTATCCTTGGAAAAAGAAAGCATGAGAATGGGACAAAGAATACCCTGCTCTTTACCTAGTTTAATAATGACATTACCATCTTACACAACTGCTTTTTTTTTATTTGCCCTTCTCCTCTTTCTCTAGTTCCTCTCTTTGTACATACACGTGTGCATGAGTATTTATGTTGTGCAAATAGGAGCAATATATATGTATACTACTCAAGCTGTATTTTTAGCAGTCTTTACATATTTCAATTTTGTAAGCTGATCCAATATATGGTGAACCCGCTTCTGTGGTGATTCTTACATTTACTTCATTTTATATGAATTTTTTGTGATATTTTGCATATCAAATCAGCTAATCTTATTTTCACAGAATTAAATTGCTTCAGTGACTTCTAATTAACACAATATTATGGTATCACTTTAGGACATTTCATTTATTGTTTAAATATCTTACTATGAAATGTGTATATATAGCGCACTCAAGTAATATTTTTGTAATGTAACACATTCAGAGTAACATGAGAATTAAAACATGAGAGCAAATAAATGCAGAAAGATTTCACCGAGTAAGATTTCAATGTTTGTTTATGGTGATACCGCTATTTGAACTCAGTATAATTACTGACCACTGAACAAGAATTTAGACTCACAATATAAAGGAAAGGTTTCATAAGAATACTAATAATATATCTAGGTTTTTATCTACAGTACATATCTTGTACCTGATTTTTGAACAGGAGAAAATTATGGCACCTTTAGTATTGTATATAATGTGAACAGGATCATTGTTTAATAGCATTTTACAATTTTGGTTCAAAATATAAATTAAGATTTATCTTAATATTTTTGTAGGATTTTTTGGAAGTAACCTACCAGATTATCAGAGGTCAGAAATCATGATGTTCATTATGGGCAAAGTACCTGTATTTGGAACATCTACTCATACTTTGGATATCAGCCAACTAGGGTATGTTTTTAGATATAAATGTGAATTTACTCTTAGGTTAAATTTAATATTAAATTAGTTAAATGTTGAGTTTTATTTAATCTTAGTTATAAAAGCTCAGTGAAAATCAATAATATTTACATGGTATGAAAGATATTGCTAAGTAATTGAACCAACATTTGCATTCTTTTAGAACCATTTTTCAGCTTATCATAAATTCTCAAAAGTTTTATGCCTTTATCAATCAAGTAAAGATTTCTTCAGCCTGGACATTATGTGTATGCATATATAAAGGACTAAGCTTCAAGTTTCTGTAAAATTTTTAGAAATTAATGTCAGAATATCATGAATGCTATTTTATTACTATAATTATAGAAACAAAAGTAATTGTGAAGGTCATCTGTTCTTTCCCCAGTGTGTGTGTGTATAATTTTCTTTTTTTTTTTTGGTCGGTGTGGGGCTTAGACTCTGGGCCTGAGCACTCTCCCTGAGCTCTTCAAGAGCTTATAGCTAGTGCTCTACCACTTGTGTCCTAACATCACTTCTGGTTTTCTGGTGGTTAGTCAGAGGTAAGAATCTCATGGACTTTGCTGCCTGGGCTGGCTTTCAACTGCGATCCTCAGATCTCAGTCTCCTGAATATCTAGGATTACAGGCGGGTGAGCCACTGGTGCCCAGCTTCCCCTATATTTTATAGATTTGATTTGGTGTGACATGCTTAAGATTTATTTATGACATTTGTTTTGCTAATTCATTAAGAAATATACAATTATTATGTGCTCATATTTGTTAAATATTTGAGATGGAAATGCTAACTACCTTAATTTGATTGTTACACATTGTGTGCATGTATTAACTTTTACACAGTGCCAAATAAATATGTACAATTAAAGTAATAATTTAAATATTAATAATTTAATATGTATAATATTAATTGGAAAACATACTGTAATTGTAGTGGATGAATAGTTTTTTAACGTGTATCATTAAATGGGTAAGAGCAGACGGTTCAAAGAATGGGAAAGGGTTATTAGTGGTAAAAAGAATAAATAAAATAACAAAGTACAATTTTGCTTTAAAATTACGTAATTTGAATTATGAAGGTAGAGGGTGATCATGCATTACCTATGTATGGTGTGCCGTGATCAGCCACAGTACTTAACATTTTTATCTCCTTGGACTTTTGATTAACACCAAATAGTTGTACATACTTAGGCTGTATATAGTAAAATACTTCAGTACCAATTTTGGTTGCTTAATTTTATACTTGTATGGTTTAATTTTCATTTCATCATTATCTATATTGTCTGTTGTCTTTGAGACAATAACTTAATTTTTTTGTTCAGACTTGTTTCTTTTACGTTTAACTGTTTTAAGTCTTTTTTTTTTTTTTCCGGTCATGGGGCCTGAACTCTGGGCCTGGGCGCTGTCTCTGAGCCCTTCAGCTCAAGGCTAGTGCCCTACCCTTGAGCCACAGAACCACATCTGTTTTTTTTCTGCTTATGTGGTGCTGAGGAATCGAACCAGAGCCTCATGAATGGGAGGCAAGCACTCTATCACTGAGCCACCTTCCCAGCCCAATTTCACCTTATTTTTTAAAGTAAGCCATCACTTATAAAATCTATTTAGCCAATAATAAACTTTCAAAATCAAGAAAAATACTGTAAGTAAAGTTCTGTGAATGTTCATTGCTATTAATATTACTACTGCCTTTTACATTTTAGAGATTTGGGAACTAGGAGGATCCAAATAATGTTGCTGAGATCTTTGCTTATGGTAAGGACTTTAATGCAGGTGAGGCAGACAAGAAACTTTAAATATATTGAAAAATTTAAAGGAATAACTTCACATCGTCAGCTTGCTATCTTATTCAGTTAAAAAATTATAGCTAGTTGTTTTTCCAGTGTATACACTCAACTCAATGATTTTTTTTGTTATGCTGTATGTTTTCCTATTTGTTTCTTACCTTACCTGCATGTTTGTACTTCATTATGATGAAATGCCCAGAAAACAGAAATTTTATTTTAGAATTAAAAATATGAGGGCTCAGAAACAGTATATAGGAGTTGAGGGGGTTCACTGGAATCACTGAGCTAAAGAATAGAACTCAGACTAATTTTTCTACATATTATGTCATGCTCTTTTACATACTGTTCAAATAATGCCTTGTTAGGAAAGTATTTCATAAAAATGAAAATTTACCACTGTAATTTTGGCTATAGAAAGCTACAAAGGAAAGAAAGACATACCCAAACCGAAAGGAAAGGCATACCAGATACTGAGCCTTGATTGGTTCATGGTTATTATGTTCATCTTCCATTTACCTACCTGGCATAATGTTAAAGAAAAGTAAGGGTGAGTTGTGTGAAATGTGTGCTCTTTCAGAATTAATAACTTTCAGATTTATTCTAGAGCTCTTCCTTGTACTTGATCTCATTTTTTAAAAACAGTATCTTATACTTGAGTGTAAGTGCAGAGAAGTAGCCTTTTTTGTTTCATTTTTAGAGTTTCTGCTACTCGTCCTGTGGTAGTTGTGAACCTAATACACGAAGATTTGTACAGCCTTTCCCATGTGTTAGGTGCCTTTTCATTTGTGTCATGTTTGTGAACTCATTACCTGCTCTGAGAATATCAACATCATGTTTTAAATTTCCTTTAATTTTTCTCAAAAATTAGACTTTCCCACATTTAGAACTTCACTTTGAAGTTAATTTTGTATGTGGTATGAAGCATGAATATTTTTCCCCCCTGGGTAACAATTGTTCTACGCATTTTCTGCTTAAAAAAAATCACCTCTACCTCACAGGTTGTCCAAATGTGCTTTATAATCCTGAAAACAAGTTGAAATTCCTCACCCAAAATGCCATTTAATGGCTGTAAATCTTGACTTCCTTTAAACAGATTCCATATGTGAATTGTGCCTCACATCCTAACTAGACTATAGTATGATGTCTATATACACCACTTAAAATGATAAATAGCTTTCCTGAAAAGCTTTAAATTCAGATGAAACGGAGGCAGTCATGCTATCAAATCAAGTAACTAATACACTACAGTTTTCCAAAATGAAAATATATTGCTGTTAAACTACTACATACCTGAGAATGATAGTTTTCAAATTAAAATTTATCACTTGCAAGATCGACCAATATCTTTTGCCACATAATCTCTTTATATCTTCTTCCTCCTGGCTGCTTATCACATGTATTCTTAACCTATCTGAGCCTCAGTTTCTCTTTATAAAATCGGGGTAAACTAGTAGCTTCCTCATAGGTCTGTGGTGAAGACAAAGTAGATACTTAGTACTTAGACTTCTGTGTAGCTCATAATAAATGTGAACTATTCTCATTCTTGGATTTTTTTGTTTTTGAAAATTCAATAAAGTCATCACCCTACAAATTTTCTTTATAATTTTTCCTCTGGCTGATGTCCATTCTTTCTTTTGATTTAAATGTATAGACTTATAAAATAATGTGAGGATTTTACCAAGGACTCTACGCAACTTTTTTTATTTTTTTTATTTTCCTCCCTGTATCCAGGTAACCTCTGGATACAAAGCCAAGACAATTGTGACTGCACTGCCAGGGTCTTTTCTGGACCCTCTGTTATCCCCGTCTCTCATGGAAGATTATGAACTGCGGCAGTTAGTCTTGGAAGTAATGCACAACCTCATGGACCGCCATGACAACAGGGCAAAGCTTCGAGGCATCAGGTAGCATGTCATTGTGAAATGGGCTTCATGATAACCTTCTCAGGTTAAGTCAGGGTGTTTAAGTATTGTGAGGTTTTCAGTCTGAGGTTTTCAATAATTTTCGTTATTGAAGCAGTGCATTAAAAGTAAAAATTATTGGACTATCACTTAATGTACTCTGCTGAGAGCTTATCTACCTAGTAATAATCAGGTGGATTTTTAGTTTTAGTTTTGCTTTAAACTTTAGAATGGCTCTGAGAGTCAAGATCATGTAGTTTTTACTAAAGGTGATAATTCAATAGTTCATAGAAGCATATTAAGAATGTTCATAAAAATAAGAGAGAAGCAATTTTAAAAGGCAAGGTATTTGAATAAATGTGCCGTTGATTAAAAATGATATATTGATTGTTTCTAGAATAATACCAGATGTAGCTGATCTGAAAATAAAAAGAGAAAAAATTTGTAGGCAAGACACAAGTTTCATGAAAAAGGTAAGGGCATATCCTAAGAAACAAATGGATGATGTGGGCGATAGTCACTGGAATGTTAGTTGTTCTACTGATGGGCGATCTTAAAGTGATTCTATAGAATTAGAATTGGAAGACCTTGTGCTGCCAGCTTTACCTCCCCTACCTTCCCACAGTGGTCCTGACAGTGGCCTGAGCCTGTGTTTAACTTGGACCCTAGCCTGCTGCATGCTATAGCCCCAGATTCCTTCTTTTAAGTAAAATGTCTTCCTGAAATTCCTACAGTGGTATTGGTGCTATCAGTTTGCCACCAATTACTCTTCTCTTGTAGAAAAATATTTGCACTGTTTCCTGAACATAGTGGCATGTGTATTATGCTGTGTCTTTCCATTCCTCTGAGTCCATGTAAAATAATTTCAAGTAATAGAAGATACGTTCTTTAAATTCACTACTTCATGAAATCATTACACATTATTGTTATAGCACATATTGCCAAATTTTATTTTTACCTGGTAGAGTGGGTATGTGAATTACTTAGGGGACCTAAACTCTAAACTCATAACTATTGTTGTAATGTTTGTTAATGATGATCAGTAACCTAAAGGCCTTCTTAGGCTTGAAAGAACCTGACACATAAGACCTTTCTTTCCTACCAAAGTATAGAACTGTTTGATTCAGTATAGAACTGGATTCAGAAAGGTAGATACTTGAATACTAAATTCAGACCTGAAGTGCTCTGATAGAAGAGCATAGCTTCATATCTGGAGCCAAAACAACAACAAACAAGAACCAAATGTTCACTACATGGTGTCAGAATTATGAGGAGTGGTTGTAGCACTGGAGGTCATTACTACACAGTAGCACCACTGGAGGTCATTACTACACAGTGACTCAAGATAGCAAATATACTCTTATTTCTGTTAGCTCTCATTTGGAATGCTTTGGTTAGGCTTTTACATCCATTATGAATTAATATTCATTAGCTAATACTCCATTACATAGCATGTGTAGGCCTGCTGAGGGGTGGACCTTCTTGAAAGTCCCTGTGGGAGTAGAAGGACCTATAACCTCATCCATTGAATAAGCTTGAGACCTGCCTTTGAAACTTCAGAAGTGTCGTAGCGCCTGCCCATGCTTTTCCTGACATGCTCCCAAACAGCAGTGCAGGATTATTCCCAGATAAGAAAATCACATGTCCCCATCAAAAAAGTATTTTTTATTATTGTCAACACTGTGTTTTAGAACTGTCCCTCAGGATTCTACTGTCCAATTTGTTTTTTTCCCTCAGACCAATCCACAGTCTTGCTTTTGTTTTTTCAGATTATTATAAAACATTCTGGAAATATTGTGTATATACTATTTTTCTTGTTTTAACTCTATTCATACTCTATTTTAACTCTACTCTTTTAACTCTTAGTTTGTAGGCCAGCCTATTTGTTGATGTTAATAATGAAATACAATTTGACAGTCAGATTATTATCTTAAGTTTCTTTCATGATACATTATGAAGTAACATAGCTACTTTTTAGAAAGTTGTGAAATATGCCCTTATTGCATTTTAAGCAGAGTTAATTTTTTGTCTATTCAGAATGGCCAACAGCTATATCGGCACATATATTTGGGGTGTAAAGAAGAAGACAATGTTCAAAAAAACTATGAACTACTATATACTTCTCTTGCTCTTATAACTATTGAATTAGCCAATGAAGAGGTAGTTATTGACCTTATCCGATTGGCCATTGCTTTACAGGTATGCTTTTATAACCTTTTTATTCTTTCCTTTTAATGAAGCAGATTTACTGTCTAAAGAATTGTTGCATTTATTTAAGAACAAGAATTTCAGTTTGAGATCTAGTTGTACTCAAGATGCTGGTCACATTCATGTTGATAAGTGCATATTGTATACTAAATATCATTCATTCAAGGCTAATAATTATAGGTCTGAAAATAAGCCTCAAGTGAAAGAGTACCTGCCTGTCAAACTCAAGGCAGAATTTGAAGCCCAGTACTGAAAAAAAAAAAAGGGAAAAAATTCTATATGTCACATGGTTAGGTGTATTGCATGTTATAGAATAAAAAGAGAACATAGGATGGCATTTTCTATCTCTGTCAGTGTCTCTGTGTTGTGATGTGTTTTTGTGTATGAGAGACAGTGAACAGGAATGGCTTTCCTAAGAAAGAGCCATTTAAGTTCTGTGATTGAACTATGGTTGATGAGCATTGATTCTTCTAAAGAATAAGTTCTGAAGCCAGGCGCCAGTGGCTCACGCTTGTAATCCTAGCTACTCAGGAGGCTGAGATCTGAGGATCATGGTTCAAAGTCAGCCCAGGCAGGAAAGACAGTGAGAATCTTATCACCAGTAAACCACCAGAAAGCCAGAAGTGGCGCTGTAGCTCAAGTGGTGGAGTGCTAGCCTTGAGCTGAAGAGCTGAGGGACAGCGCCCAGGCCCAGAGTTCAAGCCCCACGACAAAAAAAAAAAAGAAGAAGAAGAAGAAATCTGTATCTATTGGGTATGTGTTTCTTTTTTATTAAAGGACAGTGCGATTATCAATGAGGATAATTTGCCCATGTTCCATCGGTGTGGAATTATGGCACTGGTTGCCGCTTATCTCAACTTCGTAAGTCAGATGATAGCTGTTCCTGCATTTTGCCAGCACATTAGCAAGGTAATGTGTTACAAAAATTCCTTAAAATTTGTTTCAAAAAATGGCTAATTTTTTCCAGAATGATTATTTTTAATTTTGATAATTATATGTCAAATTATAAATACAATTCCATAAAAATATGAGGTGACTAAATTGAGACTGCAGCTGTTAGTATCTTAAAAATCATTAGAATATGTTTTGTTCTTCTATATCATTTCTTCTTTACTTTTGTCCGTTGAGCCATTATTATAATCTTATCTAAATTTCCATAAGTTGTGCTACTTTTATTATTTTATAATAGTAGATCTGAGGTAGATCTCAAAGTTGGACTAGTGTGCCTCTTAGAATATTGTCATCTTTTAATTTCGTTTTTTTTCAACAATAACTCGTCCACTTGCATGATTTTATGTTTCAGAATACCTAACTTACTTGGCAGCAAAATGTCTCCATTAAACGCATTTGTCAAAAGTAATCATTTTTATGAAACTAAAAGCACATATTCAGTCTTTATTAAAATACAGAATCTTAAGTACATTCGGGAAAATAAAATTCATCAAAGAAGCATTTGAGAAAATAGGCAGTGCCTATATAGTCAGAGACACAAATATGTGCAGAGTGCCTCTGTTTAAAATTTTTTTAAGTATATCTGCTTTTTAATACTTAACATTTTTTTTTTTTTGGGTCCCGTCATGGGGCCTGAACTCTGGGCCTGGGCGCTGTCCCTCAGCTCTTCAGCTCAAGGCTAGCGCTCTACCACTTGAGCCACAGCACCACTTCCGGCTTTTTCCTTTTTGCTTATGTGGTGCTGAGGAATCGAACCCAGGGCCTCAGGCATGCAAGGCAAGCGCTCTACCACTGAGCCATCTTCCCAGCCCTTGACATTTTAAAATAATGTAAAAAAAAATGAACTATATATCTGGACTCTTAACTTGAATCCTAAAATAAACTGTGATGGTATTGCATATATGTTTAAAGAAACTGTGATGGTATTGCATATATGTTTAAAGATTGTTTTTTGGTTTCTTCAATTGATTACTAGTTTTATTGCAGGGTCCTAATAGTTTTTGATTTCTCTTTTATTTGGTGTTTGTATTTTTTTCAGGTTATTGAAATTAGAACTATGGAAGCTCCTTATTTTCTCCCAGAGCATATTTTCAGAGATAAGTGCATGTAAGTTAATTCTTTACATTTTTAAGGCTGCCTAGAGAAAACAGCAATGATTATAGAAAACAAATCATTGTTGTATGTATACACATACAATGATACTTTATCGTAATCATTTTCTCATTTTTCTGTCATTCTTTTTCCCTTAATAAAGAAGGGAGATGTATAACATGTATTTTGTATATTATAAATGTAGACTCCTACACACAAGGAGGCACTATGGAAAACAAATGAAAAAAATCTCATTTTTAAAATATAAATATCTCTTTAGTGTTTTTTTTTGCCTGTTCTCAATGAGCACTCCATTTCAAAAATAAAATATCCCATTAAAAACTTTTAGTAATAGCCGGGCGCCAGTGGCTCACATCTGTAATCCTAGCTACTCAGGAGGCTGAGATCTGAGGATCACGGTTAAAAGCCAGCCCAGGCAGGAAAGTCTGTGAGAGCCTTTTTTTTTTTTTTTTGTCAGTTGTGGGGCTTGAACTCTGGGCCTGATGTCCCTCAGCTCTTCAGCTCAAGGCTAGTCCTCTACAGCTTGAGCTACATGCCACTTCCGGTTTTCTGGTGTTTTATTGGACATATGAGTCTTATGGACTTTCCTGCCCGGGCTGGCTTTGAACTGAGATCCTAAGATCTCAGCCTCCTGCGTAGTTAGGATGACAGGCGTGAGCCACTGGATCCTGGCTCCATGAGACTCTTATCTCCAATAAACCACTAGAAAACTGGAAGTGGAGCTGTGGCTCAAGCAGTAGAGTGCTCGCCTTGAGCTGAAGAGCCGCAGGGACAGCGCCCAAGACCAAAGTTCAAGCCCCGTAACCGACCCAAAAATCAAAACAAAACACACAAAAAAAACCTTTCAGTAATAGATAGTAATACTCATAAAATTGATATATTATACTTAATATTCTTTCTTGCTTTCCAAAAAGCAATTGTATGAATAATAGTGCTCCCATATTTAACTCAAACTTTTGGCTCTGGAAACAACACCATGCTGAGCCCAGCAGCATTACATAGGAAGGGTGAGCCTGCTGTGGCTGAATAAGTGCGCTGAAGCTTACTGGTTGATGGGCTTTCCGTGAACAATCAGTGAACTGCAGTTTTGCTTTTCCCTCTCAGTAGATTTTTACTTAGCACAGAAATTAAGACTGAACTTTATTTGTTCATCCTTTAGTATTTATATGTCAGAAGAGTGATACAAGGTTGAATTCATTAGTAAAATATTGCTGGGAGAAAAATCATAGCATATTTAATACATAGGACAATAGCCCTATGTTTTTTTAAAGAACTCAGATTACTCCCTTAAAATACACTGCTTTTTGCATTAACTACAGTTTTTGTTTGTGTTTAGGATATCGAGGTTCTGAACCTAGAATTTTTTGCTTACTTGTTTTTGCTTAGGAATTAATATTAGATGACTGTTGTTTTTATCAACCCAACAGGCTTCCAAAGTCTTTAGAAAAGCATGACAAAAATTTGTACTTCCTGACCAACAAGATTGCAGAGTCCCTAGGTGGAAGTGGGTATAGTGTTGAGAAACTCTCAGTACCCTATGTGCCGCAAGTAACAGGTAAGAGGAAGAGTTGCAGCTCTGACATTTGTGACTGATTTAGATTTAGTTCCAAATTCACTATCCTACATGGTAGTGAAAATTGAGTATGTGTCATTACTATAGAAAGCCTTTTTAAACTGTTTTAAACGATTTGAGTTCTTAAGTTTTTGCTTTTGAAAACCTTGTTTCTAAGTGTAAGCAAAAAGTGTTCTTACAGGTTTTTATTTAGTATTTCAGTCATGTTATTATGCCTATTACTGTCTTTTAAACAAACAAGAAAAATTAAATTTTTTTCATTAAACCATAGTATCCTTATAGAAGTTCCTCACTAAAGTAATGTATAGAAATTGTTTAATAAATGGCTTGTGATTATTGAGTTTACATTAGGAAACTTCTCATTTGAAAGAATTTATTAAAAACGAGATATATTCATGATAGGAATACTTTTTTTCTGCTATGTATTTCTATTCTTTCCATTGACTAAAATAGTTCTGTTGAGTTAGAATGTAACTCTACATGGTATCTTAGATTCAGTTTTTTTGTATTGTCAGTTCATGATTATATTAAATGTGCTAGAAGAACTAGATTTTCCTTTGGGGTACATCTGTGCTGTAATGGAACTCTTGGATTCCGGTTCATTTAGACTACTCAAAAAAGTAGTATACTTTTTGCAAGTAGCAGTTTTTCGATGACATAGACCCAAAACATACACATTCTTACATTATTTGCATTATAGTCTTTCAGATGGCCACAGATACGTTTGCATTTTCCTTAAAATATTATAGCAGATCCTGTTCTCACAAATTCTTTCAAAATAAAATGAGTAGGCCAAGTGTGGTGATCCACATCCATAGTCTAGCAGGAGAATCACAGGTTTGGGGCCAGCATGAACTACATAGCAAGTCTGTGGTCACCCCGCACTGCTGCCTACGGCGACCTGTATCAAAAACATAAAACATAAAATAAATTAGTACCACTTTTTAATTAAAGGTTGTTTTTAAGACTTTACATTTTCTTATACTTTGGATTTAGCTCTCTTTCCTTCAGGCAAAAAGCCTCATAAGCACAGGCACAAGTACAAAGGTAAATTGAGCCATTAGTGTAGATGACCTTTTCCCTTGCCTTGCTTCAGTAAATGTGCTTTTTAGAAAATGGAGCCCGTGGCTGTATAGTTGTAAATTTAGTTTAGTTATTAATTTGCTGTTCCTTCCTTTTAGCTGTCTTTCCTTTTTCCCTCTTGCATTAGTTCCTCATTTGTAGTGAATGTTTGTAGACATTTTTTAAAACAAGTGGTTTTTACTTCTCAGTTCCTTCCACTCTAGAAAAGACATTATTCTCTTTTCTAATGTTTCTATCTTTTTCAGTACTGTAAAGGGAGGAGATATATTAGTAAAAAAGATTGAAAGTTACCCTAAGGTTAAGGTTAAGGTTAAAAAAGGTCAAGATTTTGAATAGTTGCACACTCTTTCAAAGAAAGTGTGTAAATAAAGATGGTTTATTAGAAAATGTTAGAATTGGCATTAGGATATGCCAAAGAGAATTGATGAATTGAAATCAGACAGAGAAAAAGAAACGCTGGACTTCCACTTGTCAGTCTTCCATGTGTCTGTAGATTACATCTAAGGTGCCAGCTGCAACTCTGAGACCAAAGATGTGATTTAGGTAACTTTAGATTTCTTTTAGGGATGATCAGTGGTTGTTTGGCAGAACTGAGATTTAAACTCAGGGCTTGTGTGTTAGGCAGGTGGACAGACCACTTCCAGCCTTCTTTTAGGGATGGAGGAGGAAACGTGAGCTCTGCAGTTCTGAGAGGGCAGTGGGAAGCAGGAGACATGCGAACGTAGGAGAGGAGGCATTATTGCTATCTTCCAGAACTGGTGTGAGCATCTGAGTGAACAGACAACCTGACTTGAAGCTTCCTAGATCCTTCTTTAGAAGTAGCCATTTCTAAATGCCAGTAGACACTTGAAAATGTCAGTCAGCCTTTAATCTACTGTATTTTTGGGATGTACAGGATAGCTTTCTTTCTGATGTAGTGAGAATTGGTAGGTGGTCTCAGCATCTTTATCACACTTTACTATTTGTATAATGGTGCTTATTTTCTGTCTTCCTGCTTTACTAAACTGTATGACGTTGTGGACTGGTGCTCCCGAATTGGTCCTGTCAGTGTAACACCTAACATAGTCTCTGATCACTTAACGTGGGTCTGTTGAATATGGCATACTGAAATAGAAAAGGAATAGTAAAGGAAGTATGCAGAGATATTTGTAAAGAGCAAATCACATTTCCATGATGAAGAGAAATTTTTCTCTTCAGGTGATCAAATTACAAAGGAAAAAACAAAAAACCAAAAAAAAAAAACCAACAAAAAAACACTGGATAGAATGATTTAAATTGTAGAGAATTAACTATTTACCAAACCAAACCAGATTTTTAATTCACAAATTCACTGTAAACACTGTATACATTGGTTCTCAAACTACGATCTTAGAACAGCTACTGTTTTGTAAAAAAAAAATCTAGATGTGAGCCAATTCTGTTAATTTTCAGTTAAGCTAAGCATATTTAGTTCTGATTATGTATCCTTTTTGTGTTATGTTATCATAAACCCAAACATTTCTCTCTCTACATATACTATATGTATGTGTATATATATGTGTGTATGTGTGTGTGTATATATAAAATGATTACCTTTTTTCAAGTCTGAAAACAAGTGGTTGATACCACCTGTTAACTTTCTGAAATTTTTTTAGGGTCCGAAATAAGAGTATAAATGAAAATCAGTTAACATTTGACTAACAAATAATGGAGAAACCCTTTTTTATTTTAGATGAAGATCGTATTTCTAGAAGGAAAAGTATTGTGGATACTGTATCAATTCAAGTGGATATTTTATCTAACAGCATTCCTTCTGATGATGTGGTAAGTTCTGGAAGTTTAAGCTGCACTACTGTCCTAAGATTGACATCCCTTAAAAGAAACTTTTGCCCTCCACACTAACAAACAGGGATAGCTACAGCTCTACTTTTGTTATGTTTAATCCCCAAATCAACTGCATTGTTAGGAGATACCAAATCTAACTAGGTATAATGGAACTCATTTCAGCAGTCTGGAAAGATACATAAATTTAATACTGTATATTATCAGGTTTTTACATTTTATTTCAATATAATAAAAGTTTTTCATAAGTAATGCCATACAAGGCCTGTTAGTAAACTGCTAAACTCTCTAGAGCCTTTATTTTTAATTCAAGAAGCATAAGTTACAGTAGTATGTGGAACTATATTCCTTGTGTGGAATCAAATATCTACTCCCTTTAGAAAGCATCAGACTTTCCCTGTACAGACCAATTTATCACCTTGAGTAGTAGGTGTGATGGATGTATCTCAGGCTGTGCTGGAGAACTATGTAAGAGCTCTGACTGTCTGCACCTCCCTATATGCTTAGTGTTTTCCTATGTGGTAGAACACCAAAGTTAATTTTCAAAGTTACAAATGAGAAAAGCAACAGGCAATCAGGTTTTATCCCATACAAATCACCACTGAATTTTTTGATAGCCAAATAAAAGTGCTGAAATGCTAGTCTGTAAGTTAGCCTTCTCCTGTGAATTATCCATTGTTTGCCTTCTGTATAGTTCATTTGATTTCTCTTTGGAAAGAGCCACATTAAAGAAAGGAAAGGAAGTTGGCTGAACACATCTTCTCTCAGCCTTCGTTCACCCCACCCCTCCCAAACCCTATCAATTCTTTCATTTTCAGAAATTAAGATTATTCAGTGGTCAAGAAACAACCATCTAACTTCTATCTTCTATACCATTCAACTTCCCATTAATAATTTCTGTTAAGACTTTTTGAGCACTGGGAATAGTTAAGTATTAACTAGTTTAGCTAGAAGGTTAACATTAGGTAGTTAAGAATTCATTTTAAAAATTAGGACATAAGTCTGGTTAAAGTTTTTGTTTTTGTTTTTTTTTCCGGTCCAATCATGGGGCCTGAACTCTGGGCCTGGGCACTGTCCTTCAGCTCTTCAGCTCAATGCTAGCATTCAACCACTTGAGCAACAGCACCACTTCCGGCTGTTTTCTTTTTGCTTATGTGGTACTAGGAATCGAACTCAGGGCCTCAACGCATGCAAGGCAAGCGCTCTTTCCAGTCCCCTCTGGTTAAAGTTTTTTGTCTACTTAACCTTAATTCAGTCCCCTCTGGTTAAAGTTTTTTGTCTACTTAACCTTAATTCACCTCTTTGTTCAAAGCCACTTTAATTTCAGTTCTTGCTAACAAAGAGATTATTTGCTAGTTCTATCACAAAATGATTAAGAAATTGCTATTACCTTTTGAATGAAGAAATTTATTTAAAACTTCCACTTATAGACTTTTCTATAGTGCTTTATTACATTGCTATTTTTCCATTTTCCTTTTGCTAACTGTTTTTATGCCTTCCAAAAATTTGTACCTGTCATTTGAGCCTATTGCATAAAATGAACCAAAAAAGGATTTATATGACTTAATATAAGGGTAAGATGGGTGTTTAAAATTTTTAATTTATGAGATGTGAATTTCATGTTAAAGTCCATTAGTGATACATTTATTAGCTCTCCAAAGATTTTGTTTCCCATTTGCTATCAATCTTAACTAAAATATATCTCACATTGAACATCTGAAAAATACAGTACATTGTCACATTTATTCAAGCATGTTTGAGTTTCAAACTCAGTAGCTATGCTTTTTTTTTAAATATGCTTTTTTTATTTCAGAGATGATTGTTCAAATTCCAGACAGTAGAACAAAATTACTCTCTAGGTGAAAACTAATTTTATTGCATGGGCAGGAGCAATTTACATCAGGTAGTTATTGACCAGTTACTAGTAAGTACTTACAAGTTAAAGTTAATGGAATTAAGAGTATGGCTTCCTAACTTTTCCCATGTTCTTTCTCCTTTACTACAGTTATTTTTCAAAAGTCCAAAGCTATTAGCCAAGTCTGAGAACAAGCTTTCTCATTAAAATGTTAGATTGTTTCTAGGTATAAGTAAGTGACCAGCCAGAACATAATCTTATATGTCTGCTCCAAATATCTAGAACAAAGCAACTGAAGATTCCCAAGTTTAACCTGACCTCAACTAGAATATGAACCTTCAGTAGAAAAACTGAGGTAGTGGAACTCTTGTTGCAGATTTCCAGCTATAAAGCCATTGTATTGCAGAGAGGCTAAGATGCAGAACATGAAGTCTTTTGCTTTCATAGTGTTGCTGCTTTAGACTTAGCAAAAAAAGCTTATGAGCTAAAATTAGGGATGACCAAAGTCTCAGGCATGTGCTCTCATGTATTGTTTCTTAAGTTTTAGTCAGAGATACTATAGTGATTGGATATATTATTTTTTCTAAAAATGTTCTGGTGCCACAGAAGGTATTATTGTCTTTTATCACAAAAAGTATCATTAGCTTTTTAAAATCTTAAAAAATAAAGCAGCTGATTTTAATATCTTTTACATATCTCAAAGTAAGAGATATTTGAGCCAGGTGCTGTTGGATTACACTTGTAAACCTAGCTCCTTGGGAGGCTGAGGTTGTTGAGAGTTAGTGAAGAGCAGGACACAGAGGCACACACTTCTTATCCTAACTACAGTAGGAAGACTAGCATATAGTGCCAGAATGGCAGAAAGCAAGACATTATCTCAAAAATAACACAGAAAATAAGGTTGTAGATATTGCTCAGCAATTACAATGCTGTGTAGCAAGCGTAAGAACCAAAGTTCAAAACACAGAACCCAGGGGTGGGAAGAAAAAGATACTGAGAAATAAAATTAAAGGGTATTTACAAAAACTAAAAACCTTAGGAGATGGAATGTTCTTACTTTACAATGGACACCTCTGATTTCTTACTTTGAAACCTTTCAAAATCTTAGATATGTTGTGTTTGATTAGAAAGCTAAATGTTGCATGAAAATCATAAAGGCTATAGAATATTAGCTAGATTGGATTGTGTAATAATCTCAGCTTTTGCTGTTTCGAAGCATTGTGTACCTATGTAGTACTATTCAGTGAGTGGGCTTCAAATCTCATTGCATGTAGCCATACTGTAGTATGTTCTGTCTCTAAGTTGAGTTTTGCAGCCAGGGTGATTCCACCACTGTAAGGATATGTCCATGCACTTGTTTGGGGAACATTGCAGTAGGCCATGGTTGACAGCCTAAGAAAAAGCAGAGAGTATTTGTTGTTTGGAGTATAATCACAAAGATGATGAAAGTAATTGTGAACATTCTTAGCTGTAACTAGGTAAAGGTATCGACATTTCTTAGCTACTTTGTTTAAAATTATTTATGCTTAAAATTATTTTTTCTAGGTTAGTAACACGGAAGAAATCACCTTTGAGGCACTGAAGAAAGCAATTGGTGAGACATACTTTCTCTTCTTTCTCCTAAGGTGTACCTATTCCTTAATTTCCTTACCAAGGCATATATAGAAAACCATGTTATCATTTATTTTTAGTCTGTTGAAGTCGTCCTGTCTCATCATTACTGTTCTTAAGGTAGTTTGGCAGAGTTATGCCTTTTAAACAGAATTGTATCAAAAAGATACAGTTGTAATTTTAAATAATTTCACAAATTTTCTTAGGATCTTAAGTAAAAAAAAATAATCTTTCTTAAAGTTGTAGAAGAGGCTAGACAGTATGGTTCCAAATGAACCCGTTCAATTTTAGTTACTCTACTCAAGATTCAGGTAAGAAAATATTTAGTGTTTTCTATGTGCAGGATGATGTAGAACCATTCTTACGAAAAGACCTAACTGTTGTGTAAAGTCTAGGAAATTGCTGCTCTCTCTTATTATATCTTGACAAAAGTATTCTATGAAAGAGGATCTTAGGCTGTGACATTTTTCTATTTTCATATGTGGGGGATAAGTATCTTGTCTTTTCTGTTTTTTCCTTATAAAATTAGACCTTTAAATCTTACATATTTTCTGTTTATAAAATTTTATTTTAAACTGGGTTCAAAGTGAACTGTGATCCTCAGATCTCAGCCACCTGAGTAGCTAGGATTACAGGTCTGAGCCACCGGTGCCCGGCTAAAAAAAATACTTTATAAAATAATATTTATATATATATTTTATAAGAGCTTTAATGTTGGGGCTGGGAAGGTGGCTCAGTGGTAGAGTGCTTGCTTTGCATTCATGAGGCCCTGGGTTCGATTCCTAAGCACCACATAAGTGAAAAGAAAAAAGCCAGAAGTGGCGCTGTGGCTCAAGTGATAGAGCTCTAATCTTGAGCAGAAGAGCTGAGGGGCAGTGCCCAGGCCCCACGACGGGACCCAAAAAAGAAAAAAGAGCTTTAATGTTTATATAACATTCACTCTTACGGTCATTCTGTTTCATGAAATTTTTAATGGGTCTTTGTAAACACTTATGTAGACACCAATGGAATGGAAGAACAGGAAAAGGAAAAGAGACGACTTGTAATAGAGAAGTTCCAGAAAGCACCATTTGAAGAAATAGCAGCACAGTGTGAATCCAAAGTAAGTGAGCAGAGGGAGAGGAGGCGGAGGGGGCTGGGTTCTGTGGTCTGTTACAAGCCTGGGGAGTACAGGGAAGTGTATCAGACCAGGACTGGAACAGAAGGCACGGAATGAAGCCAAAATAATTCTTGATTTGGCAAGGCTGATGGGAATGGCAGATCAAAGATTAGATATTTATAACGGTTGTGGCTTTGATACTTTTTTTCCAGTAGTTTTTAGTAGTGAGATTAGAAAAGGGAACAAAAAAAGAAGAATCCTACATTAAATTGCAATAGGGACAGATCAAACCAAAACATTAAAGCATTAGCTCAATAGTTAAGTAGTATGTGTTTCTTAGGTATTTTGAAGATAATAAAAGGTTTCTTAACCTTTTTTCAACTTCACAGGCAAATTTGCTTCATGATAGACTTGCTCAGATCTTGGAACTCACCATACGGTAAGGATTTTGTTACCAGAATAGTAATACCACAACTGCACCAAAATAGAAACGTGTAGACCTCTATGAAGGTGGCTGGTTGTGTTGGAGTAACTGCTTTTCATTGAGGTTGAACTCAGTGCTAGGTGAGCCTTAGTCTTCATAGTCATTCTGTTTAACAGGTGGAGCCTGATGGTGCTTCTTGTCCAGTTCTCTCCTAGCTTTTCTAGCTTCCTCTGAGACATTCATTCCCTTATGCTGGTACCCAGAGGACTTCTGAGTGACCAGGAAGACACTCGTTCTAGTACCTTTCACCAGGAAGCTGTTTGCTTTGAATCACTGCAGTTTGCTGTGATTCTTTCCAGGGCAGTCACAATGCACCTTGTGCAGATAGCACACTCGAATCATTGACTTCCCTTAAGCACTCCTACATCGTGGCCATATGAGTCCTTTGTGAGTTACTAGGCTCTAGAACTTAATGGTGTCTAACATATTTTATATTTTAATGCAGCCCATAAAAAAGGCATTTTCTAGATTCACTGCAGAGAAAAAGCTTCCACATGGTCTTAGGTTAATCAGTGAAGTCTGTGTTGCTTCTGCCTTTTGTTTTACAATTCAGAATGCTGGTGACTGTTCTAGTCTGCTTGGTTTTTGTCTTTTTGAGACGGGTCTCACTGTCATCCATTCTGGCCTGGACTTGAGACCCTGCTTCAGTGGGACTCAGACATGTGTCACCTGCCTGACGCATTTGATTTTTTTATGTCACCTTTTTTCTCTTTCCATATGTAAGTTGCATTAGTGTTACATTTTAATCTAGGTAATTTCCCACTATTCCTACCACTCTTACTAAGAAGAGAATTACTTAAGTTCAGAACTCATTTACTACATTCCCAGAATTTCAGAGAATTGGACTATTTGTTTTCAGAGTAAGTTGCTAAACAAGGGTTTTATTTTTAAGTTGTATTTTAATTGTAATATCAAATATTGGCTGCATACTTGTTCTTACATTGCATGCTTTATATCACCTATTTTTTTTTTTTTTTGTCGGTCGTGGGGCTTGAACTCTCAGCCTGAGCACTGTCCCTAAGCTCTTCAGCTCAAAGCTAACGCTCTACCACTTGAGCTACAGCATCACTTCCGGTTTTCTGGTGGTTTATTGGAGATAAGAGTTTCACGGACTTTTCTGCCTGGTCTGGCTTTGAACAACGATCCTCAGATCTCAGCCTCCTGAGTAGCTAGGATTACAGGCGTGAGCCACCGGCACCCAGCTATATCACTTATATCTCTGATTTTCATCACATCCCTGAAAGCTAGGGAGATGCTCTTCTTCCTTATCCAGGAGTAAACCCCAGAGTTTAGAGAATTAAACTAACAGCTTTAGTTGTACAGCTACTGAGTGGCCAAATCAAAATTTTAAATCCATGATCCATGTTCCCTGTTCATTTTCCACTGTATTCGCTGTCATTTTGTTTCAAAGAGTAATTGTACAGACAAATTTTTACATTCTTTCTGTGCAAATATCAAAACATAACTCAAGTAAACCAAAATTCAGAAATGATAAGGGAGATTTGTATACTGTAAGTCAACTTGAGTGGCTATTCATAGAGTACAGAAAGTTCTCTTGTGACCCTAACCAGCTTTTCCCCACTGGAGCACACTCATGCATGCATCTGTGGGCAGCTCACAGGGTCATCTCCCCGTTACTGAAGGTTAATGACGCTTGCTCTTGAACATTTTTGGATGATGAAAGTATTCAGAGTCTTTGTTGTGATCTGACTAACTTGTATGCACACATCTGTCAATGCATGTTAAACAGTGCAGCCGAGATTTCTGTATTTCGCTCAGTGAAACCTGTCCCCAACATTAAATATTGAAATAATTGTTAACAGAACTTAACATGTCAGGAAAATATAGCAAAACTAGCTGAATAACTTGAGAAGTTTATAATGAAAATAATTACAGTTATTAAATTTTCATATTAATAAAATTGTAACAATAAAATATTAACAAGTAAAAAAACCTATGTAGGACTTACAGAGTAACTATGAATCTCTTCATTTATACTTTAGAATATTTATGTAAATGAAAACTTATAATACAGTAAAGGAATTCTCTGCAGATTAAACTGTAGCTTTAGTCAGTGTTCACACAGTGTACTTATTTTGAGGGCAGTGTAGAAGAATCCACATGCAAGAGCAGCAAGGAGAGTGCTCTGCATATTAGAAAACTGTGGTAGATGTTTGTCCTTTGAACAAATAAGTAGAATAGAGGAAAATTCAGATAGCAAGAAGAGCAGGTTCTCAAAAGAGCAAATGTTCAGTTACTGTTATTCAGACAGCTGCTAAAAATGACTTTCTATCTTTTACCAAAATAGAAAAATTAATCTTTGTTTAGAAAAACAGAAATCCTAGAGAATATTAAGGAAATCTGTGTGTATTTTGGGGTGGTGGCAGGAAGATAACACAGTAGTTTATTTGTAGTAGTAACTCGAAACTAAAAACAAAAATATGAATGAAATTCCTTTTTGCCTGCCAGATGGGCAAGGATACAAAAACAATTACAAAGGTTGACTATACCCAGTGTTTAAAACGGTGTAGGAGAATAAATACACTCCACAGCTGGACTTAACATTGTCAGCATTCCAGCTATGTTATATCAGGGTCAAAATTGTGAATCTACTTTGACTCAGAAGTTCTGCTTGAAGACAGGCATGATAAGATTATGTACACAAAAGGTACACTTGTGTACCTTATTTATAATGTGAAAATGATCTTACGTTTTAATTGGATTAAACAAATGATATGCCTCTTTGTTGAAATATCACACTGTCATCAATAAGAATAATCTACATGTATATAAAAGATTTATTTAGGACACAGAGTAACATAAGAACTCACAGAGTATAATCTCATTACAAAAATTGTATATATATATATATATATTATGTATAAACACACACACACACAGGTGTACACCCATGTTTGTTTTTAACTGCACACACTATTGTCTGTTCTCTACATATCAATGTAGCTGACTAGCACCTACATTGTTTTGATCTCTGCAGCTAAGGAGTCTTAACTTGGCTGTTTGCAGGTACTACATTGAATAGTGTGAAATGACAGCTTTTAACTCCACCTGGTGACAATGCTGTGTTCTTCTTTTACAGTCCTCCTCCCAGTCCATCAGGAACACTGACCATTACTTCTGGGCATGCCCAGTACCAGTCTGTCCCAGTCTATGAGATGAAGTTTCCAGACCTCTGTGTGTACTGAGTGAAGACCTCAGCATAGGATTTTAAAGCCTAAAACTTAAGGCCCAGCTGAATTTTTAGGGTTTACTTAATGCTTGTAATCATACTTCTGGAAAATGACAGTGGAATTTATCTGTAACCAAGCGTTTGGCACACTGTAGCAGAAGTTTGGGAACCATATATTATTTAGAGTAGCTTTGAAGATAGATTAATACCATGTGAATTTGTCTTGAGGTTCCTGTTAGCTTCTAAAGCTGAACATGTATTGGTCTCACATAATTCCACTGTTAAACAGTATATTTTCAACTTTTCACAAACATGTATTTTTTTAAAAAAAGAAAAGAATTGAAGATGTATAATGTGTCTATTATTTCTTAAACCACTGCACAACTGCTTAGAAGTAGAATTGCTTTGTTTCTGGTTATCTGCAAAAGTAAGTGTACTCCTCCCTCTCCGGAGGTTGCCTGCCGAACCGTTCCCGTGCGGCTTCCTGTGCTCATGCTGCAGCACACCTGCAGCCACTTGCTGTAACCACATGCAATAGGTATTCCTCAGCTGCTGTGTGGTGGTAACACATCTATTGAATACTAGTGCTAGGTTATGACCCTGAAAATCGCCATATTTTAAAATTGTCTGGTTCTTGTAACACTGTGTTTTCTGTCAAGTTCAACTGCTTAGAGCTTACTTTTTGGAGTACCGAACTGTGCAATATTTTTTACATCATAAGATGTATAGTTTACAGGCTGTGTTTTGAACCTATAGTCGTATTTTGCCCTGGCTTTATTAATTGAATGAAACATATATTTAGAATAGAAAAGAAAGACTTAAAATAGCTACTAGTTCACCTGTGAGGAGTCTATACATTTCAGTTTCTAAGAGCACATAATTTACATTTTTATATTGTGCATTCCTTTTACTCTTCATAGTCAGAAATTTCCCAGAGTGGATCTTAATTTGTGAAATTTGAACAGAAACTTGGGCACATCTCTGTTTAGGGTAAATTGCATTATTTCCTAACAGTTCCTGTGTCTCAGCAGTCAAATGCTGAGGTGTGTCAGTGTGAGCTGCTCCCAAACACAGGGCCAGCTGCATTCTTAACACTTCAGTGAATTCTTCACAGGGTAAAAATGAACAGCTTTCTTTGCAGTTCTCAGAAAGTTCTCTTAGGATGTTTTTATAAAATCACCTTAGTTTTACCTTCTCAGGTTCTTTTTTTTAAAAAAAAGTTTTTTTAACGCATTTAAAGTTGTTCGAAAAATTCAATTTTGTCTTTTGTTTTTGTTTGAAAAATTGCAGCAAAAAATGAGATTTGTTAAGTTGTGTTTATGGTTTTGGGCACTGTTAGTAAAATAGAAAATAAATAAGGACATGATAATGCTAAATATCCACAAAAAATTTTGAATCTTGAAATTGAAGTGTAACATCTTGAAAGAGTCTAGTCGTTTAAATGGGCAACATAGATACTGAAAGGTCTGGTGCTGCTGGTTAAGTGCAGATAAACCAGACCTTACTTTCCAAGTGACAGGCAGTTATTCCTGGAGTACTGCATGGCCCTGCACAGGCCCTGCATGGCCCTGTCACGTGACTCCCCCTCCTAACAGGTAAAGCATATCACCACTTACTCAGTGAAGTCTTACATTTTTTTTTATTTCTCTTCTTTACATTTGTAAGTTAGAATATTAATTTTTGACTGCATTTAAGATATAAGCAGGGGGACATGCAAAAACAATCATCATCCACTTGGATGTCATTTTATAAATTAACACTGTGTGGTTTTGTATGGAAGAAATATATATATATATAAATATAATTTAATAGTGTAAGAAAAATATATATTCATTTGCACTCATGTGAAACCAAACTATTCTACAAAATTTTGTGTTTCTCAGTGATATTAAAAATGCATGTGTTGCATGTAAAGGAAAACCATCTCAATTATTGTTGGCCATAGTTCTCTCTTGGGTTTTGTAAACTGTTATTTGTTGGGGAGGTTTAATTGTTGTTATTTTTAAATCACTGTAGACTTCTATATAACCTAGGTCTAGTAGCCTGAACTGGCCTTGTTGACAAGGATTCCCAAGAAATAGCTCTTCTCTCTGGCGGACCTCCCATGTCTCAGGAGGCATTGCAGGGGGCAGGTGTGTACGCTGCAAGGTAGCTGGTTCAGATACTGCAACTTCGGGATTTGTTGAAGTTCTTGTGTAGCTATACTTTGATAGATTATAGAACGAATTAAATAGTTCTTCATTCATTCTCTGCTTTTCATAGTCACTTATATTATTCTTTTGCATGACCTTGAACCATTCATGTGTGTTCTTACTGGGCTTGTGTTGTCTGTAGCTGCTCAGAGTTCAATTGTATTTTACATGAATATATTCACACTTCATATTTTTTAACCAGCAGATAACTTCCCCCCTCCCCAAAAGGTTTTTTTTCCTCATCCTTGAGAATATTACTTATTTGTCTGATTCATGCTGATATATGTGTTAATGTAATGAAGTAAGTTTTTTTAATGTAAAAATTCACTGTGCAATCATATGTAAGCAATAAAATGAAACTGAGTTACTTGTATATAAGTACAGCTTATAATAGCCAGTATTTTTGTTCAATTAAACTTATTCCATTTTTGTGTTAATTGAAAACAGAGTGCTTTGGGTAAATGTCAAGTTGCCAAGTGGATTTATCCATACATATATTGGCAGGAAGTAGGGAAATGAATCCATTAGAACAATAACTGCCAGTCACAGCAAGGGAGAGCAAGGGGAAACCTGTGCATGTGTAGCGTTGCCCTCTCTGCACGAGGCTCTTCACAAGACAGTATGTTGAAAATGAACTTTACAACTTGGTGGGGCCAGGGAGGGGGTGTGAAGGGATGGTAGGGGAAATAAAGGAGGGTGTAACAATGCAAGATAGGAAATGGACTCATTACCTTACACACGTAACTGTGACCCCTCTGTGCAGTATCTTTACAATAGAATATAAAGAACAAAAAACATCCAACCTCCTCTATTAATTACAGGAAGCATCTCTTTAAAATGTAGCTACTCTGAAGTACCCTATGCCACTGGACATCAAAGATCCACTGTATTAAGCAGTATAGCATAGAAATGGGAGCTTGGGCTCTGGTTCAAATCCAGCTTCATGACTTCCTATCTGAGGGTCTGAATAGAAGTTCACTGTATTATGCCTACATGGCACCATAAGTTCAGATTCAATAAACATTAATCACAATCCTTGAGTTGACAGGACTAGCACGTAGGAAGCTGGGTCTGTCTGAGCTCTGTAGGGCACTGTGTGCACATTTCTGAATCTGTTTTGTAGCCCTCTGAAAAGCTGTCCTGCAGGCTTGCTTTCCCACTTCACATGCTGTGATTCTGTTACCTATTCTTCCATCTGACAAACGGTGGCCTCTGGTACTGCATGTGAATTAATGAGAAAAGCAAAGCCAAGGTAGAGATCAAACTCTGCCTCTGACTTCTTCAACATCCAGCCTTTAACTCAACACTTAAAGACAGAGGCCGACTAAGCAAAGCACTGCCATAGTCTGGGATTCCCCAAAGCAGAGCTTAGGGCAAGGCTTTATATGTAGATAGTGCCTTTGGAAGTAATGCCAAGAAACAATCTCTGCCTAAAGATTCCTCCTACAAAACATGCCACAGAGCCTCAGGAAGTAACCTCAGGCCTGTCTACAGACAGCATGAAATAGGGGAAGTATTTGCCCTTTGATCTCTGTTCACAGCCAGCTGTGGCTTCATGGGCTTTATTATCTCCATGTTACATCCTAAATATTGGGCTTTATGAAAAGATGCTTCTCACATGGGTCTCTAAAGGCAGGGAAATAATGTCAGCTTGATGTCTTGGCACCAAGACTTTTTTTATGAGACTTGAGAATCAAAGACATGATGTGACAGAATGTATGTCCCTATTAGATACTAATGGGAGTTCTGGTAGACTTTGTGCTTGGTTTGCAATCAAGTCTTTTTGACTATTGCATGAGTGAATGGGATGGATGAATGGTTGGATGGAAGCGATTTCAGACTTGAAAATCACCAGAATACTAAATTGTCAGAGTGGGCCATTGTATCCCCCAAAGTTGGCCACAGGATTAATCTTTATGTAAGGAGAAAAAAAGTAAGACCTAGGATATAGTGTTGAGTGATTTCTCATGGTGGTAACTGGCACCAAGCTATTCTTCAGTGAGGTTGGGAAATCTATTTGTGGTCCTTCCCAGAAGAGCCATTCTCTCAGCCCTTGGCATCCTGCTAGGCTACCCTTAGGTAACCCTGAGGTGATTGATTAAATGTTCTCTTCAGTAGTTTAGCTTAAACCTATGTTCTGTTTTTCCTCCACCATGTTCGTCATCTCACCTTTATAGCTCACTCGTGCAATAGTGTCTGCAACTAAATTCATAAAAACAAACCACATGGATTGGAGTATTTATTGAGCTCTAGTCATGCACTACAGGAAATAACAGAAGTGTTGGTCCCTTGCCCACTCCCAGAGCATATCTGTGATCTGACATGTCAGAAGGCCTAGGGACACAAGTGTGGTTTCCTCTGTTTCCTTTAAACCTCCACTAAGGCTCCAATGAACTGAGAGGCCTAGGGGCCAGAGAGCTAAGGCAGAAGCAGGAGCAGAACTACAATGTGCTTGCCATGCTGCGTAGAATCTATCTCCCAGTGAGTAGCCTGGATTCCAGGGGACCAAGCATCTTCCCCAGAAACCTTCTGCTTCTTCTAAGGCCCCCTGTGTGGGGTGGAGCCTCTTCGCTGTTCTCCTCAGAGCTGGAGCCCGTAGACGAGGCTGAGTGCCCTCCCAGTGTCAATCCATCCTCACATGCCATCTGGGCGCCCTGGCACTCTTGTCTGCCTGGTGATTTGAGGCTTTGATTAAAGGAGGCCGAGGCCATGCACTCAGCAGCTGTCTGGTCACAGGCACAAAGCAGCTTCTCACAGAGGCTCTGTCCTACACCTTGACAGATAAGAGCAGGGTGCAGTGTCAGAGAGGGTGGCATTTGCCTGTTCGTGACTGTGGACTCAAGTCTGAATCGAGGAGCCCAAAATGAACAGTTCCTCCTGTAAATTGGCTTTCTCTAGTATTTGGATACACTGAGGAAACACTACTAGCATTACTTTTCTGTTCTTGATGTTAGTTTTTGTTTTTGTTTGGATAAGTAGATATTTTGAGTGAGTAGATTATTGAATGCATCAATGAATGAATAAGAGTGGGTAAATGAAAAATGGTGAGTGGATGAATGAATGGGTGAGTGACAGGTGAGCACACAGCCATAAATGACCATGCAAGGCAAGATGACAGATGGGACCATGCAGCATATGGAGGAAGTGTAATGGCAGGAAGGAAGAAGAAGAACATGACCAGGGTTTCCTCAGACAAAAATGAAGATGAGACCAACCCCCTCTTAGGATTCTTATGAAATTCTCAACATTTCTTTTTAAGCTGCAAAGCACAAGGGAAATGCATCGTGGCCATGTGCCTGAAAGTTTGGAAAACGTACACATACAGATGTAACTAGTTTGCAGACTGTCTCTGCTGGGGGCCTTGAACAGCCACAAAGGACCTCCGTTTCCCTTCATCAGAAGATTCCCTCCCTCCCTATTGGATGCCTTAGAATATCTCATTAACAGCAAGGACTGCTTAGAAGATAATGCTTTGAACCCCACTGGGTAAGTGATGATCCTACGACTCCCTTCTGCCTGTGTATGCGGGGCCCTTGGCAACTCCGCTGTATGTGGGAAGGAACAGGACTGCCCGCCTGGAATTGATGGGGTGAACTGGGTTTTTTTTTTTTTTTTTTGATCCAGTCATGGGGCCTGAACTCTGGGCCTGGGTGCTGTCCCTCACCTCTTCAGCTCAAGGCTAGCACTCTACCACTTGAGCCACAGTGCCACTTCTGGCTTTTTCTGCTTATGTGGTGCTGAGGAATCGAACCCAGGGCCTCATGCATGCAAGGCAAGCACTCTACCACTGAGCCACTTTCCCAGCCCCACAGGGTGAACCTTTGATAGCTATTGAGAGCTTAGCCCAGCATATAGCATGCATGCAGGAAGCATGGGCTAGGAAACCACTCCTGATGCTCTTAACTAGCTTCATCTCTTAAGGCAACTGACTCAAGCTTTTGAACTTGAGCCTCTTCATCGGTGGAACAGGCATAATGATGTGCATCTCAAAGTGGAAGAGGAGAGGAGGAGACCATGTTACAGATGGAGATACACTTGGAGAAGCGGCCATAGCCAGAAGGCTGACCTGGGGGTCTTGAGATCCGTGGATGACAGCACTTACACTTGGGTCTGTGGTCCACACACATCGTCTCCAATCCAGGATGCCTCTCGCGTAGGCAGCCCAGCCTCCTCATCTGCTCTAGGCAGCAGCGATGGGACAAACAGCACCTAAAACCAAAGAAACGCTTTACTGCCCAGAGCTCCGTACTGGCTGAGGTCTCTCCTGAAGGGAGGCTGCCTTGCTCTCTACATCTTGTGAGATGAGCGAAGCCGGTATGTCCTAACCTGACTCTCGCAGAAGCTGTTGTAGGTGTTACTTCACTGAGAGGCCACATGCAGGGTAGCAACAGCCACATTGTACATACCTTGACCTTAAGTATTTTCTTATGTTTATTATAACTTGGTTGATGGCAAGTACGGGTGACTTTATTTATTATAGCAGTCTTCCAACAGATGGAAAGATGAAGTCTTCAGTCACCATTTTTTCTTACACAAAGGTTGACTTTGGGTAGCAGTGACCCACTCCAACAACCTTACACATAGTAGAGTTTAAGTCCATGCCCACAGGGGATACAACCACCTCCCACCCAATGCTTAGCCTAAAAGCAAAATAGCCATCAGGAAATGCATCTAGAACAGGGCCCATCATTGAGCAGAACTTCAGTAAGCGCTCAGGGATGGATCTGTGTCTTCGTTTTACCCTGTCCACCTGCCCACACTGTCTTGTGGTGTCTCCACTGTCCCCTCACACCCATCCATAAGGCATTCTGCAGAGACTTGTGATGGCTCCAGACAACAGGAAACTGAAATGACTCCCCAAATCTTTCCTCCTTCACCTGCCCCCTACCCTTTCGTAGCAGTCATTACATCTTAGAGACCACAGCCCAAGCAAGAGTGAGTCACAGCCTTGAAGTCGACCTACCTTGTGCTCATTCATGTGTCAGCATTACAGACATGGGAAGCACCCCACCTCAGATGCCCACGTTACCCAGGGGATGCAGCTCAGTGCCTGCACATTGGGCTGTTTGTCTGGTATGTGCTTTTGACAAAGTGGACAGTTAATGTAATAGTCATAATCTAAAGTCAGTATGGATCAGAAGTCATAGACTCTTGTACATCATTCATTTTGCTCCTAGTGAACAGAATACATGGTTTTGAAAAGACATCATGAGAGAACCAGTTTTGACTAACTGCTCCAAAGGCCTTCTCATGGCATTCAAGTTTGCAGTCTTCCTATGTCAGGAAGCCGTCATACGTGGATGAATTGTGGTCACTCACCACAACACAGGCTGCTGGTGGGAAGGTCCCCCTCCCTCTTTTTAAGCACATTGTGTGTTAGGGACCCAGGAATCTGGACACTATTTTTGTGTTCTCCATCTTGTAGAATGGAAGGTATGCTAGAGAATCTAATGTGAACATGTGTATGCGTCCATAATGTGGCTTGTACTTTGCTACAGTCTAAATATCATTCAGATGGTGGGAGAGGTACATTTTGAAGGTTTGCTCTGGTTCCCCTCAGTAAGTCTGTTCATGTTGGGTAACAAGGCCAGCAAGACTGAGTAGGAAGTACTGGAGCTGAGCATGAAGATGGGTGAATAATCAAGTAGTCCATCCCTTCAGACACGGTGTGTCCTGCTCTTGAAAGGTTTCATGTTCCACCATTATCCTGTCCTTTGCATGAACTGTGATTAGCTTTGTTCTGGTGTATTTCCAATTTATTTCGTTGTTGCTTTAGCTATATCAACCACACACCCAAAAAAAGGTGTCTGACTTTGGAATGCAGATTTCTCCATTAGCCACAGACAACCCCCAAATGAAATTAGTCTTTATGCCTTACTATCTCTACTTTCAAAATATTCGTGACACGCAGCTTGAATTTCCCATAGTGTCTTCTTTTTACTACATAAATTCTGTGTTCTTTTTGCTTCCTTGTACATCTCCTCTATGCAAGTTTCTGTTGGGCATGGGAGCTTTTTCCTGCTTTATTTAGCTACAATTTTTGTATTCTCATCACCTAGCATAGTGCCTGGCGCACAGGAAAACCACAAGAACATGGCATGAATTGTGTGTATACATGAATAAATAATGAATGTATGAGATCAGCATGGTGGATAGAAGTTTTAGCATTTGAAATTGATGAGAAGCTAATTCCAATATTGCTTTCTTGGGATGAAACATGTGGAGACCCCAGTTCTCCATATTGGAGATGAGGTCAGTTTGGGGTTGTCTGAAGAGTGCTGGCAGATGAACCCTCCTGGGTCAGCCAGGAAATCCTTGTGATTGTGGTTGAAGGTCCCTAGATTTGGCTTATGCGGGCTTGGCCCTTTCCTAGCTGGTTGGCCTCTGAGCCTCAGATTCTCATGGGGAAATAGCCCATCACACCATGGAGCTGCCCTGAGTAAGAGCGAGTGCGCTGAGCTAGCTCTGGGAAACGTAAAGTGATGGCTCTTACCTCCTGAATTCGGGCAGCACCTGCACCACACCTGGGTCACCCTCTTCCCATCCGTACCTGTCCAGGGTGTCCCTGGGCTCTCCTCTTCCTGCGTGCCCACAGTAACAGCCATAGGACTCGAATTCCTCTGGGCAGCGGGACGTCAGACAAAAGAGCATCTCTCCAAGCTGCTGCATGGCCTCCCTGCTGTCCTCGCCCCCTGTGTGCAGGAAGCTGAGCCTGTCACAGGCTGATGAGAAACAGAGATTCAGGGAGGCCAGGCATGCCTGAGGGAGGAGGGCAGTGCCCCAGGCTGGACAGACAAAACCCCAAGTCCTCTGTCTCTCTTCCCATATGTTTTTCCCGCTGTGGGACTTGGGTGGTGGTTAGCCCTCTCTTTAGGATGCATGCAATCTGAGGGTCTCTGTGCCCTACGATGAGGACTTGCAGGAGCAACGATGCTACCACATTGAGGCTACCACATTGTACCACCGAGAGAAACCCAGAATTTGGGGCTTACCTTCCAGGCCCCAGGAGCTCAGCACCGGGGTGGGCGTGCCTCTTAGGCCCCTTGGTTTTTGTGGCTTCTATCTCCCCCCACCCACATTTTGTTCTCTCCTCCCCCTCCCCCTCTGCCTATAACTTTCAACTTCAACTCTGTCCACCCCACTGACTGATATGGAGGGCTTGCCCAGATATTAACACAGTCTTCCTCCAGGTCCAGCTATTGTGGCTTCTCTCAGCTGCATCAGAGAGAGGAGAGACCAGGGAAAAAGGGACCAAAACCCAAATGCATCATTTTTCCGGGAAACCACAGTGTGGTGTGGTGCCAAGCCCCTCCTACGGGAGGAGCAGAATGGAGAGAGGGCCGTCTCCTGGAACAGCTGCAGATAGCTGGGCAGGTCACGTGACCTTACGTGTTACTATGCTCATCTAGTAAAGGGGATGATGTTTTGTAGTCACAGCACCACGAGAGGGCCACCATCAGATAAGGTGGCCACGGTGCTTGGCTAACATATAACTAAAGGACCTGAACAGTGGTGAGGACACATAGTCCTCTGCTGACTCCCGCTTACCTTTCCTAGTTGCCTCCTCAGGACCACTGTCAGTGGATGACACCACCAGCCCTGAAGATTTTACGCCAGTTGGGACAAGGGTGATATGTTTAGCTGTAGCAATAATCTCTGCAGATCCTGACAATGAAAACGTGATGGTTCAGGTTCAGAGAGGGCTCAGGGAGAGACTGGCAGATGTGATCAAGGTCAAGTGGAGACAGTTCTCTTAGAACATGGAAGCACTGGGAAAAGTGATGCTGGCTGACATTGTGGTAAGTGTTCGGAGATTCATGAACTCTGTAAGGATAGCTATGATATTTCTATGGCAGCCTTATCCCTGCCAGGAGCCTGTGCTAGACCACCTAGATGGCTCATCGATGAGAACCAGGGCAGCTGCTCAGGCCTGTGATCTTGCAGTGTTCATGCCTGCACCCTTGGTATGTGCTAAGCATCATAGTGAAGCGGTGAAGGGAATAATGGACAGAGTGTGAAGCCTTGTGGTACACAAGCAAAAGTCCTCCTTAACTTATTTTCTCATTCAAATATGCCAGCTTCTTGGGCTGTTCAGAGTTAAATGCATGGTCCATCCCAAAGTCTGCAAGGGTCCTGGTTACTCCTTTTCCCCAGTAATTCTACACTTTATCTTAAAAGATTAGTCAGAGATGCGGGAGATTAAAGAAAGCATATTTGTACCATTTATAATGAAATGTTAGAAATGGTTATGTTTCCAGATATGAAATTGTTCTACAGCTACCACAAACTCAGGTTACCAAAATAATAATAAGTTCAGGGAAATAGCATCACATGGTACTCATGACACAGTTCATACTGCAAAGCTAGGTTTATCACATGATCTTAAGTTCCTTTTATTTATGTTCATAGAGAAGCTTGGAGGGAGGACATCACAAAAAGTATCCTCAAATACTGTTTCAACAGTGTTTGTGGTGGTGGTGGGGAGATGGGAAGGGATGGGGAAAAAACAGTGTTTATACTTATGGGATGGCAACTTATTGAAATGGGAAAGGATACAGTTTTCTATATTTTGCTAGGTGCATCTCTTACTAGACCTTTCTATTTCTTCCAGCTAATGTATCTGTCTACGTCCTGATGCCATTTGATGCTTTCTAGGGAGGGGTCATGTGATAAGTGAATAGGCTTCAGTGGCTTCTTCCACTCCAGGTTTGGCCCATAGGCTCATTTGGAATGCACTGATTCATAAGTGTATGGAAGACCGTGATGTATAAAAAGGCAGGAGGAGGCAAGGGCCCTTACCTGTTGGGAGTGTGGGCCTAGCCGTGTCAGCTTCTGGATCTTGGCCTAGCTCTGCCCCCAAGAGAAGGGAGACAAGGTTAAGTACCAGCTCCAGCCATTAGCATCATAGCCTCCAGATTACTTCTGCTATGCTTCGGCTATTCCCTCTGCTTGTTGTACATGAGATCTCTGGTGTCATTGTGGAGATAGAGGCCATTCAGGCCTGGTGCAGACACCTTCCTATCTCTTGGCTACGTTTCCACCCGGTATCTGTGTTACCTAGGTAACTGGTAACCCTGGAAGCAGTCACCTCCCCCTCCTGCTAGGTCACATCCTGGGCCGCCCCTGGTTCCAGGCCCTGAGGTCACATCTGGATCCAGTGTGGACACCCCCCCTCTTCCCATCCCTGCCTAGATAAGGCCTGGCCCAGGGGTGGGTCACCTCCTTTCAGCCATGCCTCTCCACCAGGCACAGTGGGGGCAGCAGTTCAGTAAATAAACTTCTTTTCTTTTTGCCTGGATACTACATGGTATTCTTTTCATCGTCTACCCAGTGAAATCTACTTATTTAATATACCTTATAGTTAACTTGGTTTGAGGACTATTCCTTCTCCAGAAATTGGAGGAAGAACAGAAACCACAGCAACAATGAGTGGCATACCGTACAGAGGTAAGTAGACTGGGGTGCTGCTAGGTGACCCAGGAAGGTGACTGAGCCCCAGTTCTGGGAATTTTGAGCTGTTATCAAGCTCTGACCTCCCGCCACATAGCATGACAAGACTCCTGTTTTAATTCAGTAACAATCCCATGGGTTTGCAGTACCTGCTCGCCCTCATTGAAAGATGAGATGGAGTCCCTAACTCAAGGTCTACAACAGAGCTATGCAGTGACAAGATTTAAACCTAGACCTCTCAGCTGAAGCTGGCACTCTTAAACACTAAGCCAGAGCAAACTTGTGCTTCTGGTTGAATCACAAGGAGCTAGAGATGATGATTAAAGAATCCTGTGGCAAGGGGGGAACTGCCTTCTATTTAATATATTCACAAATCAGGGCCTGATGGTAGTGTGTGATGATCTAGCTTGGAAGGTCACTGGTACAAGCACAGATGACCATGTGGGGAGGGAGGGAAGGACTGGACCATTCTAACAGCAAACATGATCTTCACACAATATGTACCAACTCAGAACATGGACCACTAAGTCAGGTCACCCCGGTGAGTGACAAAAGCCTCTCCTTCACAGGGTGACACAGCAATGACATGCTCAGAATGTACATGAAGAGCTTCAGATCAAGTCAGCCCATTGGATGCCCTCCACAGTAGCGTGTGTGTGTGTGTGTGTGTGCGTGTGTGTGTGTGTGTGTGCACACATGCATGCACGCACACGCGCATGTGCTAGTACTGGAACTTGAACTCAGGGTCTAGACACTGTTCCTGAGATTTTTTTTCTCAAAGTTAGTTCTCTACCATCTGAGCTACAACTTCACTTCAGACTTTTTGGTGGTTAATTAGAGGGAAGAATCTCACAGGCTTTCTTGCCCCAGCTGGTGTTGAACCATGATCCTCAGATCTCAGTGTCCTGAGTTGCTAGGATTACAGTCATGCACCATAGTACTATTATTAAGCAAGGAACCTGCTTACTTATCCATCCTTTGTAACTATCAAATTGTACTGGTGAAATTTTGTCCTAGATAACTGTAGAGAAGCGTGTAAGTCACTATTGTACGGGGTAAAAACAAGAACAAACAAAACAACAGTTTTACAGCCTGAATTCCGGACTTCTACTCCATGCAGGCCACAAATGACGTGTCCAGTAACTTAGCACTTGCCACTCCCTGGGCCTCAGTGCCTGTGTGTTCTGTGAATGGGGTGTAATGATATTTCCTTGAGTTTTATGTACAAGTGGACACTAGTGACAGACAAGTGGCATTTCTGGAGTCCTGCTGCTTACTTGTCCTGGAGAGCGTGGTCCGTCTGTCAGCTCTGGTGTCACCAGTGACTGTGAAAATAAACCAACCGGCTTCATGACAAACCTGTGAGGGGCCCAAGCCTAACCACCCATAGTGCTCCAGCAGTTCCACCACACCAATCAGGGCAGATGAGGGAGGCACCTGACCTACATCAGGCAGAAAGACCAACAAGCACCATCTTTGGAAGTAAAGAGCTGTCATTTCCCTCGTGGGCCGGACAGATCCTGTGGGCTGCCAGCGGCAGCGGGTGTTTGGTCAGAAGCAAGGAGGCAGCATGGGGTCCGGCAACCCCAGCCTGCCCCTCAGCTGCCCCATCTCTGCGTCTCAATTCTGTCTTCAAATACAGTTGTAGTCTTTATTGTGGAGGGTTGTATGAACACTAAATGAGATTCTGTATTCTAAACAAGTTGTCTACTGTTCCGTGAGACTTGTGGGAAGTATTATGATTATGATTATTATTATTAGTAGTAGTATTGCAGCCACTCCAGACTTCCTGGAAGATGCCAGCCCACACTTTCCTGGGCTTTTGTTAAATCCTCATTCATCTGAAGCTCTCATTTACTCCTTAGGCCACCCTCGAGCTGGAGGAATCATGGCTTTTCAGGAGTTAGTAAACTAAGGGCCCTTACACAATACTTTCCTGGCCTACAGCCACACCCACTGCTTTGCTGTTACCAGTGGCTACCCTTGTGCTGTACTCACAGATAACCCCAGGCAGAGCCGCCTGACCCACAGTAGAAGGTGGGCAATCCGTGGCTTATACAGATGATGAAACTGAAGTTTACAGAGGTCAAATCCCTTCAGAAGTCACACAGTGACTTGGGAAAGCCAAGGCCCAAATCTACCTGGTTCCGAAATCTGTGTTATCGCCTGGTGTTGCACACAAGGACAAACCCTGTGTCTTCTTCTCACAGACCTCCCCCAACCTGCACTCAGGAGTCTGTTTTGTGACCTCACAAACCAAGCGTCCTCTTGCTGACAATGGGCCCTTGGTGTCCTGCCCAAGTCCCAGGAGTGAGTGTTTCTAGCTATGAGGGTGATCGTGGATGTGCATCTGCCTTCTGCTGAGCTCCTTCAGGTTCCTGGAGGAAGCTGATTTCCTTTGCATCCCAGGCCACTTTCCCTTCCAGGAAGAAAGAATCCTAAAACCCCCGAGATCCCATTCCTGGACCTGCAATTGACATACGGAACCTTGTGCTTACCTTCTCCTGAAATGACCGCCAGGCTGATGTCCGTGGGCTTTGCAGGAACCTCTGGAGAAAGAGAGGTCCCACTAGCAATGGTGGCCAGATCAACCAATGGCGTCAAAACCATGGCTGGGAATTGCTGAGCTGAGGGAGGAAGGGGCCAAGAAGGGAGTTGCCAGGGAAGCCTGCCTGTCCCGTCTGAGGATGCCCTGTCTCCCTCACTCCTGGGGCACGGGCTGCTCAGCATGGCCTTCGTGGGCCCTGTTGGAAGCCACCTACCTGGGGCCTTACCTGCAGGCACCAGTGTGGTCAGCCCGCTCCTGCTGGTCACCTCTGGAAGGGAGAACACGTTGGGAAGTGGGCAGCACAGTCGAGGATATTTGAAGGGATGGCTCTTGACATGTTTAGACACCCAGCCACTGTGGGCCCTAAGCCAGATCCCTCCCAGATCACCACCCCAAGGGAATGCAGGCCAAGCTCTCCCTACCTGGCGTCTGCACTAGGCACGAGGAGATGTCCAGAAGATTGAGGGAAGAGTTGATGCCAGAGCGAGCCAAGCACTCAATGGCCGCCTTGTCGCAGGCACACAGCTGCTGCTCACAAGGGTCCCTGGATTCTGGACAGAGAAGGCCAGTGCAGGGGTCACCGCGCTCATCTGGAATCCCAAGGGCTAACGCGGGCTCCAAGGTGGAACTCTTGGCCTGCTCCTTGGGTCTTTTCTCTCCTATGCAGGTCACTGTTTCCTCTTCTGCTCGGTGGACCCAGCCTCGGGACCCACCTGCTCTGTCTCTCATCGCACACCCAACCCACCCAGAAACACCTGCTGGCATGATGTTCAACTGCATTAGGCACTGGCCACGTCTCTGCACCCCACGCTACCACTCCAGGCCAAGCCACCAGTGACTCCTGCCTGGAGTGTGTGGATCTCCGATGGACCTCAGCCTCCTGAGTAGCTAAGATGACAGGCATGAACCACAGGCACCTGGCTTCAAAGCATGTCTTCATTCATTCAGAGCCCTTCAATAACGTTTCAGGGTAGCCTGGAAAATGTCACACAATCACCCCCCCTTCCTCTTTAAACCTAGGCAGCCCTCCCTGAGCCTCCCCTCGCTTGCTTTCCTCCACAGCTCTCCTCATCATCTGACATATCACTTGCTGGGTATTTTCAGCCTCTGACCATGCTGAGGACAGTGCATCGAGGTCAGCAGGTTCCATGTGGTGGTGACTGGAGCTGGTGTAGACAGGCAGCATGCCTGTGTGGAGTGAACAGTGGTTTTGTTTCCTGTGATCACTGGGTACCTCCCATCCTTGGGTACTTCTCTGTCTTTCCCCGCTGCTCCAGCAAGGCTGGTTCCCTAACTGAGGTCGCAATCCTGAAGGGCTCTGCCACTCCGGGGAGGTATTTAATTTCTTTGACTTTCCCTTCCCTGGCCTGAAAACTGTAAACATGGGTCCTGCCACGCAGGGTTGTTAGGAAGGAAGCTCAGAGTTGCTCGGTGTAAAGACCTTGGTGTAAAATAGGCGTGCATTGGAGATTCGCTCTGCCCCATTACTCTCAGCCTGCTGTGCTCCCTCTTCCTTCCACACCTTCTCCTATGCAACGTCTTCTGCCAAGATTGCCCAGACACACCAAGTAAACTTCCAAGTAGAAAGCTACGGTTTAGGACTTACGAATCTGATTTTTACAGTCAACGTAAGCCACAGTCATCTTGCACTATTTCTACCTCCAGGCTTCTCAGTCACTGCGGTAACCATTGGACAAGCACTGCTTTGTTTCCCAAGCATCTCTCTCCCGTTGGTTTTCTCTTCCCTATTTTGAGCTTTTCTTTTAAATGCCCCCATTGTAACACAGTGTATAGGTTGCAAATTTCTGGCCCTTCACAAATGCCCAGCTTTGCTACAGTATGCATCATAGATCAGGCAATCTAACTTACACTGGATCAACCCCATTACTTTAAAACATTCTTGCATGTGTGCCTGTGCAGCATCTACTGCATGAAAGGCACAGATCCACAGGCTCCCAGTGACAGACACCAACGGTGGGGATGATGTAGGCGGACCCAAGAACCTTCTGCTGACCCACGATTGAGTCTCTGGCACCCTTGGGCCCTGCCCTGAGGCAGCCAGGCCAGGAGATGCTCACCACATGTGATCTTCTTGCTGATGCAATCGACCTCTGCACTGAGCTTGGCGGGGTCCTGGAGACAGTCCATTTCTGCGGCCTCCTCATAGCACCTGCGGTGCTGGAAACAGCAGCTGCGGGGGTGGGGAGGGAAGGGGGAATCGCAGGAGGGAGGGATGGGCAGGATCAGGGTTAGAGCAGGAAAAACAGGCAGTCCAGCATGGCGCCACAGCCACAACAGCTTGGATCATCCGTGACAATGATACTGATCATGAAGGAAAGTTCTAGAAGGTCAGGTGGGTCTTTGCAGTACAGATAGGAGGACAGTGGAGGATGTTGTAAAGAAGGACTACGGTACAGACAGGTGCAGACACTCAAAAAGCTACGTTTTTTCATACTGCCTACCAATTAAGCATTCCTTAGAAATTTCTAGAAGCCCAATTCTCTGAATCTTACCACATGATAGGCACTCAACAAATAGTAGAGCAGCTGAGTGTGTAGGTTCAAGATGGAAATAAGCTATCCTCCAAGATTTCAGAAATCTCTCCCATCAACTGAACTGTTTGTTCAAAGTTCCTGGACATAGGTGTGGGCCAACATTCTGTCACTTTGAAGTCCCTGGTGCTTTGATCACACTTTGATCACCATTGTAGGATACAATGATGAATTTCTGCTACATTTCTTTGACAAGGATTAGGTCTACCTGGCATTAAACAGTTAAAGTGTTAAGGGAAGGCCTGAAAGAAATAGCCCTGGCCTCATATCCCCTGCAGAAAGATCCAGAAAGATCTAGTCCCTTCCCATCCCAGTTCCAGCCATCTACTCAAGGTGTGGGGTCTGCTTCCGGTCCTTCACATGGAAGATTGTCATTTGGGTCCATTGGAAACTTAGACACTGTCCTCTAATTTTGGTGACAGGACAGATTTGTGGTTCAATTCAAATTAGTATTCCTTTGAACTCAACCACAGAATCATGGCTCAATTCAGGTAGCATGCAACTGTCTTTGGTGCCTAGGGATGGAGACAGTCGAGGGGATTGTCCATGAGCAGGGCTTTCATAGGAAAAGCACATATTCCATCACACTGGATTTGGAGCTAGGGCTAATTCCAGTGCAGTGGGGCTGTGATCCACTTCCACTTCCTATTTGTTACTGCTGGTACCATGGCTGTGGTGACAGTTGTCATTACCAGTACTTTACTTAGTGTGGCTACTCTGGGTTGCTGCTGCTGCTACTCATGTAGTGTTACTACTGTAGCTACAACCTTGTTTCTGCTGTTACCATGGCTACCAATCTCTAATACACTTGCTCACGTACTTCAGAGGCAAAGCAATTCTCTCATTTGATGCTAGGTAATATGAGAAAGTAGACATTACTATCACCTCTGCTTTGGAGATACAGAAAGTGGAGCACAAGTAAATTAAGATCACAAAGCCAAATAGAGGTTGAAAATGAGAATTACTGGGTCCCAGGTAATACGCCTTAACATTTTAGCAGAGAGCATCTAACATTGCAAACTGGCCAAAATCCCAACTGACCCTTCTTCTCCCCGTCTGTGTGTGGCCATGCCTTTGCTGACACTCCATGCTTTTAGGTTTTAAATTTCATTGACAGCTTTGCCATCATGTCGGGCAGGTGCCTTGCTTGCGTGTTGAGCTGGAGTGCATCTTTCCTGGCCTTGTGCTTCCTTCCATTTCCCACTCAGAACTCACCTCTTCAAAGGTAGGGGGGCAGTCTCTGTCTCTCTTCAGCCCAGGACTCCCATACATTGGTATTTTATAGTTGCCTTTATTCTGGTGGCCAGAACTGCTCCACATACACAAAATTCAAAAGCTTTATTAGGCACCTGAGTTCTTTGGGGAGCTTGTTGAACATGGAGGGCTCTGGACTCCATCAAAAGGCATCCCGAGTTACATAGTACCCAGGGATTCTGAGGCAGGTGGGAAAAGTCTGCAGGGCACTTTTGTACATCCGTCATAACATAGGCTCTGCAGAACTGCCTGTAGAAGTGCGGATCCTAGCTGACACTGCAACGCAGAGAGGAGGAAGCGAAGCCTCCTGCCAGTAGCCGAGAGAGGGAGAGCCCTCCTGAGTCTCTGGTCCAGGGCGCTTGCAGTATTTGTGCCCACCATAGGTTCACTCACCTGTCAGACTCATCGAGTGGCAGCCCTTCCATCTCAAATCGGCAGGCACAGCCGTAGTCCTCCAAGTCTCGAGGACAGAGGTCCGCCACGCACCGCAGCCCATTCACGAATTGGAGCAGCAGAGGGAAGTTGGTGAACACAGCCTGCAGCCAGGTGAAGTGGGAGCCCAGGCAGTCTGCAGGCAGAGAGCAGGCAAGTGTGGGCCAGGAAAGCCCAATGGAGGACAGAGCCCCAGGCCCTGCACTTCTCACCTCTTGGCTAGATCGTGTGTCATTCAATAAGAACCTACTGTGGATCTGAGACAGTTGAAGAGAATGGGGTTTATAAGCCATGGTTACTGCTGACCCACTTTGCTTCTACTTCCTTACTAAGATGCTGGTCACGTGTAGGAAGAAGGGGTGTCTCCCCCCTATATTTCTGGGGATGCTTCCTGGTCAATCTCGCTGGTCATGGCAAAGCCAGACTTTCAGTGACTGACCCAAACCTAGCCAAGAAAGGCCTGAGAAGAAGTCCGCTGACGGCTCCTGAGCTGGGTACCAATCCCAACGCATGCCTATAATCTAGCTACTCAGAAAGCCGAGCTCGGGAAGCCTGAGGTTTGAAGCGATCCTGAGCCTGAAAGTTTTTAAAACTTCATCTCAACATAGCGAGCAGGGTCTGTCAGTGCATGTCCATTATCCTAAGTACAATGGGAAGCCTCATGTAGGCAGATCACACCCAGGTGTGCACCCAGGCAGGAAGAGGGACCCTAGCTCAAAAACCCCCAGCAGAAAGGATGGAGGCATGGCTCAGTGGCAAGAGCATCTGCTCAGCAAGGCTCAGAGTTCAAACACCAGTACTACCACAAAAAAAAGAAAGAAAAGAAAAAGTAAAAATAAATACTTGTTTGTAATGCAAGATAAAGACACATAAGAAGATAATTTACATCTCAACCTTCTTCCTTCCTTGAATATGGATAAGAGTGTGCTGGCTAGGACTAGAGCAATCACATTGTAATCACAAAGCTCCCAAACCTGAAGTTAAAGCTCCAGTGTATTCAGGGTACAGAGGAACATACAGAAAACCTGCTGTGCCTGTGATACCCAGGTCATACCCAGGTCAACTATTGCACAAATCCTGCAGCCTTCTGACCATGCGTTACATGCGAAAACAAAATGTCTATGATTTGAAGCCCTGTTAGTTTCCTGAATGATGGCGCTGACTCTATAAAATTATCAGTCAGTGTGCCAAGGAGAGGGAAATAGACACAATTTTTGAGACAGTATTGAAGCTGTCCAGAGTAGTTTTAAAACCCCATTGATACAATCCATAGAAGGCACAACACATTGGGTAATTATTTTCTACAAATCCCGCCAGGTAGATACTCTCTTTTGTTGTCCCCGTGTCGTGGGTAAGGACATCAAAGGTAAGGGATCTAAAGTATGCACCAAAATTGTCAAAGAAATAATATTCACTTTTTGACTAAATCTCATGCTGGCCTTCCCTTCCCTTCAGCTTTCTGATACCGATTGACAATGCACCTGGGAACTCAGATGGATTGAAAAGCAGCTTGTGAGGCAGGACCAGATCTGCTGATGACCTAGGTTGCTTCCTGACCCATCCTGTGTTCCTCTTCCATGCTTTGTTTCCACAAAGCCTTCCCAGAAAATACAAGAAATGGTTCAATGGTTGATGGAAAAATACCTGTCTAAGGCTGCTTGGGTATGTTGATGTAAATCTTCACTCAAAGCCTTAGAGGCACCTGTGCTTAGAAGCTGATAACCTGCCCAGCTCCAACCAACGGCAGCTCCCAGGATTTTTTTTTTTGGGGGGGGGTTCCAGTCGTGGGGCCTGAACTCTGGGCCTGGGCGCTGTCCCTCAGCTCTTCAGCTCAAGGCTAGCGCTCTACCACTTGAGCCACAGCGCCACTTCCGACTTTTTTCTTTTTGCTTATGTGGTGCTGAGGAATCGAACCCAGGGCCTCAGGCATGCAAGGCAAGCGCTCTACCACTGAGCCATCTTCCCAACCCAGCTCCCAGGATTCTTGTCCAGGCTAATCATGGTGTAACCTTATTTTGGGCTACTGTGAGGAGAGCCATCATGGGTCCCCAGTAGTTGCATGCAAGATATGGAACTGACGAGTGGAATGTTTGACCACTTTTGAAATTCTTCAGCTTTGTGTATATTTACTAGTTGGGGCAAGAGAAATAAAATGACTGGGCTATAGCTGAGTAAGTTCTGGACTCTGCTAGCTGTGTGGCCTTGGGCACATCACCTAACTCCCTTACACTCAGTTTTCTCACCTATCAAATGGGGTTAGCATTCCCTTCTTGTTGAGTTTGTAGTCAGAACAGTGAGATTAACGAAAGCCAGAAAAACAACGATTATGAAAGCCCATAGCGACTCAGCTGAAGCAAGCAGCACGGAATCCAATTAAACTGTTGGTAGCCAGCTTTGGGGGCCCAGGGCGCCCAGAAGCAAAGTTCACAGATTTTCTACATACATTCCATCTTTGACAATTGAGGAATAAAAGTAATTTCACATTGAACTTACCAAAAATTTCAGCCACAGTTTCCACATTTTTAAACACCCCATTGAAGATGGTAATATCTACAGGGAAGGAAGGGAAAAGGAAAAGAGAACACACTTAAGAGTCTTGATTTCTCTCATCCCTCCCGTTGTGAAGGAAGAAAAATCTTTTATCTAGAGATAAATCTGACGTTAGGCTAACTTTCCACAGACATGCAACCCTGATAAAGATGAAATGCAGTGCTGCTCAGGGGTAAAATGACTTCTAGATGGCAAAGTCTAGGCTTGGAGGAATTATTCACTATAAATGCATAGAGAGAAGTCATTATCTTGGATTCTTGCCATTCCTTTCTAGATATCCTACATATTGTACCTATGGGTTGCTATTAGAGGTACTGGCTCAGGTAGAGAATGAGGCTTCTGAGACAACTGGTGTGTGGTTCTTCTGTGTGAGTTCCACTGCCCTGGAATCTCCCTAGATCTCCTGGACTGTTACATGCTCTGTAGATTGGGTGAGGGCCTTTCTTGATGAAAAGACCTGGCTGACCCAGCCAGTTGGCAAGCTGTATCTCCCACTCTTTGTCCTGATAAGTCCTGGAGTCATCCATGAATCTCCAAACCCTACTTGAAAAAGACTTAGGTGAAATTTGTACTTGTCATGAGCATCACACCCTCTGGAGAGAGGTCATTTGCCATTTGGGTCTGAGTGGACCCCTCACTTTGTTTGTATCGGCTCATGGCCAAATAATTTTTGATTGCCTCTCCTCTCCTCTCTGAAATGATGGGTGTGAACGCTGCTCAGGGATTACCTCCATCAACGGCTGGTCTCCTAGGCCTCATGTCAGTGACGTCAGTGACGTTCATACAAGAACCTGAAAGATCTTTATAATCCAGCAAGGCACAAGTATCAAACCTCCTTTCCTATAAGCAAAGCATGAAGTACATCACCCACCCCTTCTTTTTGGCCTACTGGGAAGTTTGGGTGCAAACAACCCATTTGCTCCTTTCCTGGAGCAACCCATTTGCTCCTTTCCTTGACCTCTGTCTCAAAGAGAAATTACTGGTGGCTCAGCCACAGGGGGCGTCTGCATAGAGATTGTGTCTCACTGGAATCATTTCTCCTGTCACCACCATAGCGATGACATTCTCTACCAAGAAGGGTTCCTTTCTGCTAGCATGCCAGACGGCTTTCCACCCTGCTTCTGAGGAAAGCTCAGCACATCCTTACTGATATTTTTGGAGAGTCCTGGAGGCAACTTCAGTGGGAGATGTGGGGTGTCCAGAGCATGGCCCCCTACAAAATGGAAAGGAGAGAGCAGGGTTAGCACACACATCGCCACCGCCCCTCGCTGAGCTAAGCTTCCAAAGACAGTAAAGATGTCCCCCAAATCAAGCGAGGATCCAAAATGTGCTGGATCTATGTGGGGCTCAGAAGATAAAGGGGTGTCAGGGTCTCTCTTGGGTCTCACAGTGGCCGGCCTTGGTAGAGGCATCCTGGCTGGGGATACAGGAATCGAGGATGGATTTGACGCTGTCATCACATATGAAGCTGACGGTCTTACCAATACTCTGTTTGTTTAATGGTATCTTGAGCCAGAGTCCTGGTAGTAAAAGGACAGGGGCTCAGTGCCAAGGAGTTTGGAATGAGGATGGCATCACCCATTCTTGGATGCAGGCCCAGTAACCCTCCTGAGCCCTGAGTGTGCACTCATTTGGGTCTGGTCAAGCCAGTCTAGTTCAGTAACTGGCACTTTTAATTTTTGTGTGTGGTATTGTGGTAGGAGCTCAGAGTTTTGTGCTTTTGAGGCAAGCATTCTACTGCCAAGCCATGCTTCCAGCCCCTCTCTGCACTGGTTACTTTGAGATAGTCTTTCTTATTGGCCGAGGTACCTACTCGGTCTGCCACCCACCTAGTTCATGCTTCTCCTCATAGTCCACATGGCAGGTGAGCACCCCACCCCCACCTTCTTCCATCCGGGAGGACTCTCATGGACTTTTCTGCTTCCATGGGCCTGGAACCTCAAACCTTCCAATCCCACCCTCTCCAGGAGCTGGGATTATTGGTGTGAGCCACTGCATCCCAAGCATTAGAAACAAACATGGGCAACAAACATCTTTGGAGCTGATACTCTAGAACCTTCCTCATGTAGTGCTAGTTTGGGGCGGGGGACTCCCACGTTCATGCTGGAAATGCATTCACCCTCTCTGCCAGCCTTCATCATGATGGGGCCTACAGCTATGTCTGGGCCCATGGTGACACACAGATGGGAGCGCGCCATCTCCCACGTGACCATTTAGCCACTGACACATTCGCTAAGGAGCCATGCTGGTGTATCTGCAGTGATAAAAAGCACACGGGTCATCTGAAACTGTCACAAGAGTTTTGTCCATTTCCATCAAGCTGACAGTGCTGCAGCCATGCCTGCCCGTTTGTCAGTGTTTGGGAACCTTGTCAATCTGGAAGCCACAAGAGCCAGACTTCATGGAGGCCTGGGCAGCGCCCTCTGCTCAGGGAGATGCGCCAGGGGATGTCCAGCCTGGCCCTGCTTGGCTGGTCCGTCTCACATGATGGACACTGGAGCTTGGAATTGGCTTGTACAATGGGTAGCTAGCATCGCCCCCATCTCTCTGTCCCCTAGATGCCAGTGGATGTGTATGCATGTGTGTGCATGTGTGTGCATGTGTTTCACATGTGTGGACATGTCTGCACACATGTGAGTGTGCACATGTATGTGTGCATGTGCTCATGGGTACTAGCACAACCAGCTCAGATCCACCAGCTGAAGACAAATGATCTGTGCAGGATGAAGGCTCCCGACGGACACAGCTCCTGGACAGCTGTGTGGAAGCTCTCCTCCTATCCTCTCCCACACTGAGGATGGAATCCCAAGACTTACACCTGCTAGCCACGTACTCTACCACTGCCCAGTTTTATGCCCAGCCTTTTCTATTTTTTTTTCATTTTGCTAAAGTGTCCACCATCCAGCTAGGGCTGGGGAGCCCAGCCTCTGCACGATGATATACCCTAGAGCACCTCTGTGCTCTGCCTGCCTTCATCCTGACCACACACTTGCATCAGTGACACAAAAGCCAGCTGGAATGTTAAATGGCCTATCTCAGAGGACTGATTTAGAGCCTGCACACAGTCTGGCCAGGGGTAGAGATGGAGAGGGAAGTCTCAGATAGATTAGTCAATGGAAGGACAGAATATGGGGACCTAGAGGTACGTGGGAGCTATGAGTGGATTCGGGAAGTATGACTGGATAGTGGGTGTGGAGAAAGCCCCAGGCCAGCGGAAAACGGTTGGCTTGTTTGCTCTGGCCTGTGTTGGAACAAAGATACCGGATTTGAGTGTTTGACATTACGCAGTGATCCTGCCTAAAGCCAAGACAAGCGCTTGTTCTTCGCTGCGCCTTACTACAGCCTGATGTTCTGTTATCTTCCTTGGGATGTGACCTTTGCTCTGTGAACCAAACTACTCCAAGCTAGCATGTACTCTCAGACCCATTAAAAAGAGGATGAACAAAGTTCTAGAGCATTCCTTTATCTCTCTTGGCCATGCCTATATGTCTATTGGAATCCTCTTTGTGCCATCGTGGTCTGAAGCAGCAATGAAAGTCAGCAGAATTCAATTGACTTGGCTCAGTAGGCTTGCTACTCCACACAAGAGGGTGGTAGGGTTGTACTGTGCTGGGGCCACTGCCACATTTTGACCCCATTGCCTATCCGAATTGCTTCCCCAGGCTGCAAGGTACAGACGGTCCTTACTGTTTACAAACAACAAAACAGCCTCAGTCCTCAGAGTAACATATCAGGCTTTCCCCATTGGTTCTAGCAGTCTCTGCCCCACTCTACCTGACCTTGAACTTGACACCTGGCTGTGCTAAGTGGCTTCTTTGGGCCTTCTAGACACCAAGCATTTGCCACCTGCCCTTGCTTGTGCTATACCCAAGGCCTGGGGTTTGTGCCTGCTGCCCTGGTTTTACAGATTGAAGAAGATGATATGAAGTGAGTGGCCATGATGGTTTAAATATTGATAAAACCAATCACATCATGGTCCACTCATGGGAACAGAATCACCTCTGGTGTAGCTCCTGAAGCCTGCAGAAAATGACAGCCCCAGTCTGACCACAAAATGGGAAGCTGAAGAAATCGAAAATTCAGCTTTTCACATTTTTGTCCAGAATTATAATTGGAATTTGATCAGGTGGAGTTAAAGTCTTGGTAAGGGCTGAGATGGTCTGGTACTAGGGCCCAGATCATGACAAAAATGTTTCAATCAGAAAGAAGGAGGAGGTGGGGGGGACGGGGGGAGAATTGGAAGGGATGGGAAGGGGAAACAAAGGAGGAGGCTACAATGCTTGATAAGAAATGTACTCATTATCTTGCCCCCCCAAAAAAAAAAGAAAGAAGAAGGAGGAAAGGAAGGAAGGAAGGAAGGAAGGAAGGAAGGAAGGAAGGAAGGAAGGAAGGAAGGAAGGAAGGAAGATGGGAAGGTGGGAAGGAGGGAAGGTGGGAAGGAGGGAAGGAAGGAAGGAGGGAAGGAAGGAGGGAAGGAGGGAAGGAAGGAGGGAACGTGGGAAGAAGGGACGGAAGGAAGGTGGGAAGGAGGGAAGGAGGAAGAAGGGAGGGAGGGAAGAAGGGAGGGAGTGAGGAAGGAAAGAAAGAGGGTGGGAGGGAAGAATGGAGGGAGTGAAGAAGGAAGGAAGGAAGGAAGGAGGGAGGGAGGGAGGGAGGGAAGGTGGGAAGGAGGGAAGCAAAGAAAAAAGGAGGGAGGGAGGGAAGGAGGGAAGGAAGGAAGGAAGGAAGAAAGGAGGGAGGGAGGAAAGGAGGGAGTGAGTAAGGAAGGAGGGAGGAAGGAGGGAGGGAGTGAAGAAGGAGGAAGGGGGAAGGAGGGAGGAAGGGAGAAGGAGGGAGGGAGGGAGGGACAGAAAAGAAGACAGAGCCTCAAGTTCTCAGCCAGGCTTCAAAGGCAGTTAACACTATCACCTGGGCTGCCAGGGAGCTCGGGTGCCTGGGGTTTGGGGGTGTGGGACTCACTTTGGCAGGAGAATGAAGGTGTTTGCCCTTGACATTGCACACATATTCCAAGAAGAAAAGGTGCAGTGGGAAGACCGATGTGCTCCAAAGAAATCAGCCAGTCAGTAGTGAAAGTGGGAACAGTACATGGTCAGGAGAAGGGAGGTCTGTGACCATCGCTCTCCCACTCTGCTCCCATTTCCCCCTTCCTTTACTGCACAGGATACTCAACAACGAAGAGCTGGATTAACCCTATAGCTTATCAAACAGTTAGATTTCCATCTCTCATTAGGCAGAGGAATGACGCAGAACTAATCAGCGAATCTGATGAAATTTGACCCTCCCTCTCAGGATTCAAGTGCAGTGATTTGTTGTGGAATTAGATGCTGTCACAGAAGTTACTCACCGGCATAGCCGACCAGCAGCATGGGCACAAGGAGGAGCACAATCATAGCCAGAGAGCGGAGAGCAGGCACCAACTGTAGCAGCCTCCTGGGAGAGAAGCCAGCGGTGTGACCAGGGTGCCCTCAGGAACCCCAGGGAAGAGCCAGCAGGGGCTCCACACCTCCTTTGTGCCACCAGGTGTGTGGCGAGAGGAAGGCACCCTGGGAAACTTTACGTCCCAGCTTGGCCTCCAAACGAAGAACACGTTCCTGCTTTGAGACACGGGCTAGCCATTAGTGAAATGCAATCTTAACCCTGCACTTCTTGAGGCCACAGCTGCGATCTCACTTGTGCATTCCTTTATTTCGTGGTCACTTCTTAGTGGGCTCACCACAGCAAGGTGGCAGGATTTCAGAATACAGAGTGAGGAGAATACAACTCTACGCCATGGGCTGGCTTTGAACCTTCCCATCAACAGCACTCCCCCTAGCAATAAAGTCAACAACCGCATGGTGGCGCTGCCTGACAACAAACCATTTTTCTGGGGCTGGGTTTCCCTCTCCTTTCCTGGCGATGCTGGAATAGATGAACCTCAAAACCGGCTCTGGGGACAAGGGGAGGATGAATGAGGGCAGAGCCCAGGGACCTGGCAGCATTTCACCTGAAGCTTCCCCGTGCGCAGGCCACCAAATAGTTCACTTCCATAAGCATTCTAAAGCCTACCAGCCATCTACTTAACAGGGAAGGATCAAAACAAAAAGAGGAGAAGTGTTTAAATAAGTTCTATTCTCTGGGATGATAACAATAAAGAGTGAAATATGGTTCGTTGACTTGTGAAAGTTCTCTAGATCACGCTGTTTAGGACAAAGTCTGAGTGATCTCGGAACATGCTACCCTAGCAATGCACAGCTGTGATTCCACAGGTAACACGCACATCTGTTGATGCTCACAGCCCCTCCCAAGACCTCGTGTTCTGGCATTGATAACAGTAAGAGTTGGACACAGGGAGTGGCCAGTGCTGACTGAATTCCCAAGGTCAGGTCAGCCTCGGTCATTCGGATGTGACCTCAGAGCCATCCCAGAACTCTCCAGTGTGGCCTGGAGCTCCCAGGCCAAGGCCTCTGGAGACTCTTCAGCCTGAAGAGGACTCATCCAGAACTTAACATCAGAGAGTTAACTGCTGGTGGGATTTGTGTGATTAAAGAAGGTCACACGCAGAGCTTTATCCCCAAAGACAACCAGCCTGTGACTGCATTACTACAGAGCTGCAGAGCTGAGCAAGGAACTCAAAGAACTTTCACTCTACCCTTGCTCATTCATTCATTCATCCATTCATCAGTCACTGTGAAGACACTAGCGGCTAGGTTAGGACTAGAGAAGGGTTGATAGTGTAAAGATCTCTGTCCTACAGTGTTCTTAACTCTTTGCATGCCTTTTTCAATACCAAGCACTACTCAGAATTGGGGTGAACCACCACGACAGGGAATGGGGTAGTCTTGACCCCATGGAGGGAGCGTTCCTTCCTCCAGACTGATGTAACCCTGCAGAGACAAGTTTGGAAACTTGTGCCCTGCCTCTATTTTTGGTACCATAGTTCAGCCCACGGCATGTTAAGGCTCTCTGACAGAGACAGCAATGCTCCAGATCCTTCTTAGATGTGTTTATTGGAATAAAAATGATCAACAGTCATCAGACTACATAGGCAATGTGGACTCTGTTATAGATTGTTTTACTTTCCTTTTTTTTTTGTCTGCCATGGGGTTTGCACTCTGGACTTGGGCACTGTCCCTGTGCTCTTCAGCTCAAGGCGAGTGCTCTACTGCTTGAGCCACAGCGCCACTTCTGGTTTTCTGGTGGTTTATTGGAGATAAGAGTCTCACGGACTTTCCTGCCCAGGCTGGCTTTGAACCGTGATCCTTAGATCTCTGCCTCCTGATAGCTAGGATGACAGGCATGAGCCACAGATTAGATTGTTTTATTTTCTTTTTAGTAAGTTTTGTAGCGAGGGGATAGGGAAGAATTATTTTCTGATAGGGAAGATCAAAAATTCTTTCTAGGCAGCAGGAGAGACAGAGAGACAGAGAGAGAGAGAGAGAGAGAGAGAGAGAGAGAGAGAGAGAGCACAAGCACTAGGTCTCAGTGTCTGGGCAGAAGTGGTCAGCTGGGGAAAGTTGGGCTCTGTGGCTTACTGCTTCCCTGAGCCAAGTGCTGAGGCTGTCTGGATTTTTTACCCTGAATATACATATAGTACTGGGGTTTCCCCTCCAATCAGGACCTGGTAAGGCCTCAATGGACGAGCAGGTCCTGTGAGGCAAGGCTGTGAGCTGTGTGCCTGGAAAGCTAATGAGAACCCACAGCCGCAGCATCCTCGACACATCTGCTGCCCTGGGAATGGTTGTTGGCCCATACAGCTTCGTAGGAACCTTGCCAATGTGGCCTGGGTTCTGCTCCCCCCGGGAGAAGCAGTGGGTGCTCTCTGAATGGCATTGTGTCTCCTCGAATAAGAGCTCAGAGCACCTCTGTCTGGGTTTCTAGGCCCATCCAGGCAGACAGACATCCAGAACTCAGACAGCATCGAGAGCATCCTCATCCTCAACTACCTCCTCTTCCTCCCTCCATCCTCTTCCTCCTCCCATTATTTCCTCTCTCCCTATCCTCCTTTTTCTTCTTCTTTCTCTTCATCTACTTTTCCTTCCAGGTCTTCCTCCCTCCCCTCCCCTCCAGCCCTCCCATTCCTCCCTGGGCTCCTCCCTCAGGACAAGTAAGTGCCTACCCGTGAAGGTCCCACGCCAGGTCACCGGAGGAGCTGTGTGGTGTGTGGCCTGGTGTGGCTGCAGACGGAGCCCTTTATACCCCAAGGAAAGACCCCTGGTCACATGCACGCCCTCCCCCACTCACATGGAGAAGCTGCTTTCCCTGCATGTGGGCAGGTGGGCTGCCCCTGAGGGAGGAGGCGCTTGAATGCTATGGCTTGGCACGGACCAAGGCCCCATATTAAGAGGCCATTTCATCTCCCCAGGAGACGCGGGCTCTAATTAGAGAACAATGGTTATGCTGTTCCACACCCGGGCCTCACCTCAGAGATTGAGTGGCTCAGTGGTTATGGCTCAGTGGTTATGGCTCGGTCATGAAGGCAGCTGGGGGGTGGGGTGGGGGATGAAAGATGATGACAGTCACCGGCTCTCCTGCAGGAGAAGGGCTGCCTTTGTCTGGTCTCGTTATTTCTTCAACAAAAGACCCTCTGGGGGTGATTCTTCTTATAGCTCTCTGGACTGGGACCTGGGAATCCAATACCTCATTTCATTGAGGGTATTTTTTCCCCTGCTCAAGCAGTAGTGCAGAGTGATATCGGAGGTTCCACTCCTGCCATGGACTCACAGCGTGATCCTGAACTTCTCTCTGCTCAGGCTTGGCTTCCACATCCATCCACTGGCAATAATGCCCCTCGATGTAAGGGGGAAGTGGGCCAGGAGCCGTGTATGGTCTAGGGGTTCTCAGGAGCCTAGGTCCTCTCCTTTTTCCTCTAAGCTCTCCCTAGCCCTTTGTGTGGTGCTTTTATTATTGGACTCCCCCAGAAAACTGGTATTTACTGAGCACTTGCTTTGTGCCACAAATGGTCGGCAAGATTCTGCTCTTCTCACCTCCACAACAGCCATGCTATCCTGCTTTTCAAACCGTAGCAGAGAAGAACAGAGCAGTAGCTCCTGCTTATAGGCAGTCACCATGGCATCCTCCAGACAGAAGCAATCCTCCAAGCTTGTGCTTGGTCACAGCTCAGCAGCTGGCTCCCTGCACGTGGCGGGAGATGCGGGACATGCCACACAATGAAAGCTGTGCTTGTGGAGCCTTCGCAGTACCACTACAGGGCTGCCCAGGGGGAGGTGTGTCTGGCCTTGCAGCTTCTGTGTGCCCATGTTGGCTGATGTCTGACCACGGCTTTGCACTGGGGCAGAGGCGACACCGGCTGCCCTGGCCCTTCCTCGCCACCTCCAAAGCCTCCAGGTCAGTGGGGTCACGTGGTTTAGGGAAGCCAGACCCATGTTCTGAGTGTCCCCAAGTGTAACTACCGGATGATGCAGAGACCATAAGAACCTGCCTGTGGGAGTCGTTCTAGACATTTCCAAGCGATTGGATGCTTTCTCTCCAAAGCCTACAATGGAGTATGATGGTAATGGATAGCTTACTGGCTTTTGGGGAGAAATCACTCTCTTTTGTGGGTTTTGTCCTGGGCAAACATCATCCTGGGTGTTGGCTGTTTGCCAAAATGCCAAATATTCCCTGGACACAGGGTGGGGGCGCACAGGAGCAAATCACCTGTGACTGAAAACCACTGGGCTCCAATGGTTGGAGCCTTAGATTTTGTCGTGTTGTTGGTGGTGGTTGTCGTTCTTCTGTATAACAGGCAAGAGCTAAAGTTTCACAAGAGCCAAGATGAAAGGGTATGAGATAAAGGGCTAAGTGGAGCTGTGGCTCATGCAGCGGAAAGCCAGCCTTAAATAGAAAAGCCAAGTGAGAGTGCGAGGCCCTGAGTTCAAGCCCAGGTGTCTGTGCTCACACACGTGTATGTGTACACACACATACACACACACACAGAAGAATACGCCTTTCTTGCAATCATAAACTGACTATTGACTTGAAGCCCCCCTGTACAACTGCTTATATGTAATTTTTTTTTAAAGAAGCAAAGGGATATTCCCAATGAAGTTTTAGCGGGGGGGGGGTCCTGTCGTGGGGCCTGAACTCTGGGCCTGGGCGCTGTCCCTCAGCTCTTCAGCTCAAGGCTAGCGCTCTACCACTTGAGCCACAGCACCACTTCTGGCTTTTTTTTTTTTTTTTTGCTTATGTGGTGCTGAGGAATCGAAGCCAGAGCCTCAGTCATGCAAGGCAAGTGTTCTACCACTGAGCCACCTTCCCAGCCCTCCCAATGAAGTTTTAAAATGACAGACTTATTATGAGATCAACTGAAATCCTTTCTCCCAGAAGCCTGAAACACAATGTGCCACACAGAAACACAGAGAACACACACACTCCAAAGGTGTGTGTGTGTGTGTGTGTGTCACAGAGACAC